ACCTATCTCACTGTTCTGATCTGTCGACCTGGTTCTAACTGATTGTAGTCACTGTTAACTATAACTACAACGCAATGCTTCAAATGAGAATTCTCTCAGCTCGGTTTATTATTATCGCCTTTCTAAACCTTTGCCTTGTCTGCTGTAAACAAGTCCGTAACATTTGACTCAAGTTATAGATATACGATGGCACTAGAATACTCAGATGTCGATTAAGTAGTCGATTTAAGTACTAATACCCATTTTTTTCTTCCAGGCAATGGAAAAACACTATGAGAAGGTTACGGCGGATCGGGCAGAGTTGCAAGCAAAGTATAACGACGTCCAAGCCGCGAAGGATAAGATCAATGAGTTGCTGTTCAATGTAAGATCCCTATATTTCTATTAGTAACGCATTCGCTATTGTGGCATAGAAAACTAGACATGAATGCAGTGGTGGTCTGTCAATTATATTTGACCAATATGAGGACATCCACTGGGAGTTAACGTAATGGCCTATGTGTTACATCCGTATAATGCATGTTTGACATTGCTGATTTTGATTAGATGTAGATGTGGACTTGACGGATTGTCCATATGTTGAAACTACTATCGTATATTGACTTCTTCCATAGGAGAGGGACATCATGTTGAACGGCGAGGAGCGCGTGAATTCCCTGCTGAAGGAGAAGGCAGAACTGGACGCCCAGCTGCAGGAAATCGAGGAGCGCGTGGAGGATGTTTCCGACCAGAACAGGCAGATGGAGTCCAAGAAAATGAAGGTACGTCAAAGGAGTCTATCATCGGATGCATATGTTTAGTATGTTGCTTTTCTATAATTCCATGTATATAATACTGTCATTTACGTCCCAGGCCATTAATGCATTTTATATTTCTTCCACACACACAGGCGGAACAAGAATGCGACGAGATGAAGAAGGAGATTGAAACCATAACGGCCAAACTTAACAAGAGGGAGAAGGAAAAGCAGGAGGTAGAGGACAAACTGCGCGCCATGACTGAGGAGGTGGCCGTCAACGACGAGCTGATCGGCAAGCTCGGCCGCGAGAAGAAGAAGCTGGAGGAGCTCAATGCGGTAGGCAGTGGTCTCATGCTTACGTACTTTGCCCACAATTAAATCAGAATCGCCAGACATAGACAATGCAGCTCGTCATTCGTCGCCTCGAATATCTTATTTAGTAAATATTGAATCATGAATCATGACATATTTAAACATATGTGCTGAGCTCACGTGCTTACTTCTCATTGATACATTTCAGCAAACCCTGGATGACCTCCAGTCCGAGGAAGACAAGACTCAGAACCTCACCAAGCTCAAAGTCAAGCTGGAGCAGACCTTGGATGACGTAAGAGATACACTATGTTCATATCCATGATAAGCATGTGGAGGGGACGTCAGCTTCTTGGAATATGTTGGGACATCTTGCAGTAAATAAATCAAACCAGATTTGTGTCAATCTAAACGTCTTCGTCTACACATCACCTGTGATTACGTTTAGAGATGTTTACGTCTATCCCCCTAGCTTGAGGACAACCTTGAGCACGACAAGAAGATCCGTGCTGATGTTGACCGCGTCAAGAGGAAGCTGGAGAACGACCTGAAGAATGCCCAGGATCTTGTGGTTGAACTTGAGCGCTACAAGGTTGAGCTTGAGGAGAAGCTGAAGAAGTGAGTGGATCATAGTCTGTCTCTAGATTGGATCATAGACTGTCTTTCAAACATGCATTGCATCTTACAAATGTGTTTTTCTGGCAGCAGATAACAGATTGCTTCTATATGGCCGATACAGGAAGGAGTTTGAGATCAACGCCCTGAACACCAAGGTGGAGGATGAGACTGGACTGGCAACTCAGCAGCAGAAGAAGACCAAGGAGCTGCAGGGCAGGATCGAAGAGCTGGAGGAGGAACTGGAGACAGAAAGAGCTGCTCGTGCCAAGGTACTTAACGCCAGTAATCAAAAGGCCAAACATAGTTTTCGCATATGCAATAGACAACTCTGCCAATCAAATTTGAATATTCCAGTACAGCTGTTGTAAAATCAAGTTCACTCATTCCTTTCTATAAAACTGACAGCTTGAGAGGCAGCGTGCCGAACTCTCGCGTGAGCTGGAAGACATCGGTGAGAAGCTGGAGGAATCTAGCGGCGCCACCGCTGCCCAGGTTGAGCAGAACAAGAAGAGAGAGGCTGAGCTCCAGAAGGTAACCTATGGTCTATGTCTGATATCTAAATCAATTGCTTCGATCAATCTCAGCTGTGTTGTCAGTACCTACCTTATTTTACACTGACAAATTACAATGATGTACCAAGCTAAAGGTTGTATGCGGGTCTGGACATTATTGGAATTTGTAAGAAAAACAATAACTGGGATGATGGGATATCTGCAAGCCATTACTTATCATAATCACCTAATAGGTTCGCCGTGAGCTGGAGGAGGCTACCATCGGCCATGAAGCCGCCACCGCCAGCTTGAGGAAGAAGCACAACGACACCGTGGCAGACATGACTGAGTCAGTCGAGAACCTGCAGAGGGCCAAGACCAAGCTCGAGAAGGAGAAGAACTCCCTCAGGGTGGAGGTCGATGATCTGGCTTCAAACGTCGAGCAGGTCACCAAGCAGAAGGTTGGTGCAATTTGAGCCGCAACCTTTGTCAATTTTATCATACATTATGAAGCCCGATACATGCTCATTTGATCAGTAGTAATTTTCATTTGAGCACATTTGATATCACTTGACGAAAGATTTACATCATCTCACTTGGTCCCATGTCTTGTCTTTTCCAGGTCCAAGCTGAGAAAATGAACAAGCAGCTTGAGGATCAGTACGTAGAAGCCAACGCAAGGTTGGAGGAGAATGGCCGTGTCGCACAGGAACTGGGATCCCTGAAGACTCGCCTGACCGCCGAGAACAACGACCTGCAGCGCCAGCTGGAGGAGTCAGAAGGCGTGTCTAATCAACTCAGCAGGTAGAATATTGGACACTCGAGAGAAAAAAATTATATAATATAATATTGGTCAATGTATACAAAATACTATCAGGTGTATCGAACAGAATGTACATGACTTGATGTGTAATGTTTATTCACAGAACAAAGAGCATGCTCACACAGCAGATGGAGGAGGTTAAGCGCCAGCTCGAGGAGGAGACCAAGGGCAAGAACGGTCTAGCCCACCAGCTGCGTGCTACTCAGTCCGACTGCGATGCTCTGCGTGAGTCCCTGGAGGAGGAGCAGGAGGCCAAGTCTGAAATTCAGCGCAATCTGGCCAAGGCTAACTCTGAGGTGGCGGCCTGGCGCTCCAAGTACGAGACCGACGCCATCCAGAGGACCGAGGAGCTGGAGGAGGCCAAGAAGAAGCTGGCCGCCCGTCTGCAAGACGCTGAGGAACAGGTTGAGTCCGCCAACGCCAAGTGTGCCAGCCTTGAGAAGACCAAGAACAGGTTGGCTGGCGAGGTGGAGGACCTGATGTTGGACGTGGAGAAGGCCAACACCCTGGCGTCTCAGCTGGAGAAGAAGCAGCGCCTGGTTGACAAGCAGACCGCCGAGTGGAGGCAAAAGGCTGAAACCCTCGGTGGCGAGTTGGAGACCTCACAGAAAGAGCACCGCGCCTACCAGACCGAGCTTCTGAAGCTGAAGAATGTCTACGACGAGGGCATTGAGGCTCTTGATGCCTTGAAGAAGGAGAATAAGGCTACACAGGGTATGTATTTGACATCTTTTCACCATTGTAAGACGATTCCCCGGTTGTGAAGGTGTGAATGTTGAATTAACGACATGATTTATACTTTTCTCGATAGAGGAAATCAACGACCTGAACGACCAACTTGGAGAGAGCGCAAAGAACATTCACGAGCTTGACAAGACCAAGAAGCGTCTGTCCGTTGAAAAGGAGGAGCTTCAGAATGCCTTGGACGAGGCAGAGGGCGCTCTTGAGATTGAACAGGGCAAGGTTAGTAGGTGGTCAATTGCTCTTTCAGAATTTATAATCTAAGCATTTTTTATCACATCACACAGAAGGCAGGGTATGTGCCCGTCAACAACATATTGATTTGAATTCTAACAGGTTGTTAGAACTCAGCTTGAACTGGCCCAGCTGAAGGGTGACATCGAGAAGAAAATCGCCGAAAAGGATGAAGAATTTGAAAGCTCACGGTGAGTTGATGGAAATTCTTAATCTAGCAAATGAAATGAAGCAGAAGACATCAGTGTAAAAGGTCTTCATCTTGAGTAAGCAGTTTATCTATTGAGCTTCTGTAATTATCGATCAAAAGATTCAAATTGAGAATTGGAATGTTACATTCATACGATTTTTTCTTCCAAACGTGTAATATTTATGTATTATATCTTCTTTAGTAAGAACCAGGCACGCGCCATGGATAGCGTGCAGGCCTCTATCGAGATCGAGGCAAAACAAAAGGGAGAAGCACAAAGGGCTAAGAAGTTCCTAGAAGGCCATCTCAACGAGGTTGAGGTTCAGCTGGAGACCGCCAACAGGTCCAACGCTGAGGCCAGGAAGACCATTGCCAAGCTGCACTCCCAGATCCAGGAGATGCAGGTAACTACAGATCTTTGGTACGCTTTGCTATTTGTTGAATAACTTGACAATATGACTCGGTAATGAATACACTATTCCAGTGGTGTATCAGATTGAAGTTAAGATGTATGTGATTCTTTGTACCGGCGTATTGTGGTATGTCAGGTAAATGAATCAACATACGGCAAAGTGTGGCAGAAATTAATCACAGATGCTTTTCTACAGGTCGCAATCGACGACGAACAGCGGCAGCGTGATGAGATCCGTGAGCAGTACAACATGTCTGAGCGCAAGTGTCAGATGCTGGTGTCTGAAGGTGATGAGGTAGGTATATGGTGCTTTGATTGTAGACCCGATACTAAGTTGTAATTCCTGCACTCTGCAACTGGAAAAGAAACTTTCTCTGAACTTTCTTTTTAAATTTCAATACAACCTTAATATATATATATATATAACTTCCAGGTCCGCGGGGCTCTGGACAACGCCGAGAGATCCCGTAAGGTCGCTGAATCTCAGCTGGTGGAGACCAACGAGAGGCTTGGTGAGCTGAGCACACAGAACTCAGCCTTGTCCGGACACAAGCGCAAGCTGGACGGTGACCTGGCGCAGATCCAGTCCGAGCTGGAGGAGGTCATCGGTGATCACAAGAATACGGAGGAGAGAGCCAAGAAGGCCATGGCTGACGTATGTATAGGCGACGTTCACTCTATACCTTAATATTGACATGTTCCATCAAATGCTACGCACAATTAGCGCAAATATTTCAGTGTGCATTCAATGGGGAGTGATGCTGTCATTTTAAGTAGTTGTTCTTTCAATGTATACAACACAATTAATCAATATGCTTTAAAACCAGACATCTCGCATGGCCGAGGATCTGCGTGTGGAGCAGGAGAACTCTCAGCACGCCGATAAGGTGAAGCGCACCATGGAGGCCAACCTGAAGGATCTGCAGCGCCGCCTGGATGAGGCTGAGGCAATCGCACTCAAGGGAGGCAAGCGCGCCATCCAGAAGCAGGAGAACAGGGTAAGTATTTGTAAGGAACCGTGTTTGTATCTTATCTTTGAATCAAGGTGCACTGCCAGACAGTTTTGTTTTAATCTCTTTGCATTTGGCGCTCTTGAAAAGAGACGAATCAGAGACAATCGGTCAATAGGTATTACGAGAAAAGCAATACCATTAATCTCATTTTAACTGTATCTTAAACCTCGGTCTCATCCATTAGATCCGCGATCTGGAGAACGACATTTCCCAGCAGAGCCGTCTGCACCAGGAGGACCTGAAGCAGCTGCGTAAGAACGAGCGCCGCCTCAAGGAGATGACCTTCCAGGCCGACGAGGACCGCAAGAACCAGGAGCGCATCCAGGAGCTGGTCGAGAAGCTGCAGCTGAAGATCAAGACCTTCAAGCGCCAAGTGGAGGAGGCTGTAAGTATCTCTTTTCTTAACAATATCATTCCTTTGTTCTTGGAGATTTTGTCCAACCTATATAAATGGGATGTTAGGTACCGGTGCTGTCATCCCCACAACAACAGCCAATCTTTGTCTACAAAATGCTTAATGACAACTTGGAAGGTGATACCAAAACCTCTTTTTTATTGGACACAGGAGGAGCAGGCATCGTCTAACATGGCCAAGTACCGCAAGGCCCAGCACGAGTACGAGGACGCCCTGGAGCGTGCTGAGATTGCCGAGAGCTCCCTCAACAAGCTTCGCTCCAAGTCCCGCAATTAAAGCGCCATGCACCAGTGACACTGTTCACAGACATCTCTTTCTCCTGCTTTACCTTTTGTTTGATTTGTTGACAATTTCGTCTCAATCCCGTAATAAAACGTAGTGAACCCCTATCTGTGGCGGCTTTGTCTTTCATTATACACACAAAGAAACAGGTATCTTTAAACCTTACATGTTGTCGAAAATATCTTTTCATCGTTCACACAATACATTCATGGGAACTCGAATGCTTCAGAGACGATAATAGGGGCAGAATAGCAACAATGATATCATATCTGAACATGTGTCACCTGACTATTGGGTAGGAATCGGAGCAATAGGTACAAGCGTTGATTAAAAAGTTCTCGGCCTCACCTAGAAGAGAGAAGTGAAACTCCCATTCTGGGGTATAGCTTTATACTACGACGTCTTACGTCACTGCCCACAGAAATTCAACGTTAGAGGGGACTATGTTGAAAAATAGTGTAGGAACAATGTTTCTGCCATGACGTTTTTTGGGAGAGGCTGGGAACCCAAGGAAGGGCGCTTAACTACACAATAAACAAGTTGAATTGCCTGTCCCCGTTTTTGACTCCCAGAATAGGCCATGTCTGACTTATCATAAACTATGTAGGTCAGTAAGTAAAGTGTCGGAAACTCGGGGAGAGGGTTTGATAGTTTGAAAGTCCTTTTTTAAGACACATTATACCTCTATGCCCTGTCCTGCCAAACATCCTGTGTAAGGTCTAAATCCCAACAAACGTAGCGCACTAGACGCTCCAAAACTATGGTTATCACATTTCTGAGTGAATATTTTCCCAAAAGTAACTGGAAAGCTAGTATTCGACCTAGTGCATTTCACTGAAGGATCTGACCTTGACAAATATGATATTACTGGAAAGGATAATGAATAAGCTCGCCAATAACACACTTCTGGTAAAGAAATAAGGGAGATACGATTACCCAAATTAAAGTTTTCCAAATATTTGAGTCTAGTTTCATTGTACGACTTCATCCGCTAATCCAAGATGTACCTGGAGGTGTCCGCTGCGCTTACGGAAATAATACGTATGTATGAATAACGATATAAATCCGGACCTTCGAAATTCCGCCATGGTGCCACACAACGATGTAGAAAAATGTTCAAGTCGCAGGGCTATGTAAACAAAACGTCGGAGAATACTAACAGCTGCACCACGTTAGTATGTCACTGGTGAAAGAGGCTTCTCTACACAAGCGTTCGGGGTAAGAACGAAATTGTGTTTGTGTGGAAGAACGCCTTTCTCCTCCTTTCTGCGAACGCGCGTCAAGATACCAAACATTCAGCTGAATTGAAGTGTCTTGCTGAAAGTTCTCTTCTGGCTGATACGATCAGACCTGGCCTTGTAGATTCAACGATAAGCGCTTGGCCTAATCTTTGGTGTAACTGATCATGGAATATATCTTACATGTTCAAAATTCTACCATATAACTTTGATAAATTACTACTGAACGACAGGAACTAAGCATTGAACAATGGTCCTTATGGTTGACATTATTCCTGATCTTTTTGTCGATAGCGCTCATTGCACTCTGTGCGCGTTGCGAAGGACAGGTACAAACAAGAAACATATGGGCAATGAACACCAGCCTTTTTGGTAACCATATAAGACATCCTCTACAACACAGTTAATAAGAACAAAATCTAGATTTCAAGAAACACACAATCAGTAGAAACAATCAGTACTGACCTTCAATTTTCCACGGCCACCCTTCATCGTGCTAAGAAAAATGAACAGATTTTGCTATACTGCTTACGTATGAACCCAAAATAGACATATGCACCCTTGCTATTGGATAGATAATTGTCACAGGCACGTATAATTGAATACACTTTTCGTTGATTACACGAGCAGCTGCATAAGCAGGGTAAAAGCAGATTTCGCGGCAAATATCTGTAGGGCCTGAGTTATGTATGACGAAGCAAATTCAAAGCAGCTATAACCGGGTACTTGAGACTCGGTTTTGCAAAAGAATTCAAATGATGCGTCAAGAAAATATTTCCCAACGTGCTTATACAATACTGGATAGGGGCGCATGGTGCACTGATGGACTATAGGTTTTGAAATACCTGTATTGTTCAGTCTTTTCCCATTTCAAGGCAAAAAGGAATATTACAAAACTTATTGTCATTCTTAAATGAAGATCTAGAATGCCCATATGAACTCAAACTTTCAAGTCAAATGGGACCCTAGTCAAAACGTTTCTGAATTTATGGAAGCTCCCGATTGTACATCGGGAGGGTACAGGAAAAATGAAGCCGATGGCTTTGAAAACGATAAATGGATCGTAGTGTTATAACCGACACAAGTGAATTAAAGAATTGAAAAATTTGACCGACAGAACAACAAATTATCCATCCATATGAAACAGGTACACACAATGCTACATGACACAACATAGTCATACTGCGTCTTTCTAAGAATGAAAATTCCTGAAGCTAATTGGGTTGAACACATTACATATGTAAGTGTAGAGAATAAAAATCATTTTCTTACACACAGCTTTAATAGTGAAACAAAAGCAGATATAATAAATACCGGGATACAGGGTGAAGCGGGCAACATTAACGTCATTGTGAGAGAAGTTAAGCAAATTGCTTTCGTCACAATCATCTTACGCCCCCTGTTACGACCCGTGCTGTTAATCATGTACAAGTGTTAACGGGTGAAATACAGAAGTGTTAACGGGTGATATGATATACACACATATTGTAATCATATAACCGAGACGACAGTAAACCTTGATACCAGACTTTAACCTTCTCGACCTACTTTCAACGCTGAGCATAGCCGATAATTTCGAAAATGCGAGGAGCGCATCATGGGTTTGCCCGATGTAATTCTAGACGCCCATTCGGCCGTGTACAGCTGTTTCTGGGTCTCCCAATAACCGTAAATATACCCGACAATTTACGCTATGGTGGATCTGTTATTCTTTCATTATTATTAGCTACTGAAAGTGCCAAACGTGCGGGACTCGTCAACGCATCTGTGACACCCGTCATTATGCAAATTGACTTGCCCGACCTTTTTAAATTACCGTTGCATAGCATTAACTCAGCGACCAATAGAGTACCGTACACGTGCATCGTAATTCTTGCGCTGCACATAGTTCTGACATATTTGGTCCAGAATATCCTCGTATATAAGGACTGTGACGGTCCCCGAAACATCACAGCTTTGCCAGCCGAAGGTAGGTGTTTGAGCAAATTGTTCATGCATCGGTCCACTTTTAGCGTTTACTAGGATTATCCTATGCCTTATATCACGGATCGTTTTGGTATTGAAATTCCTTTTTCATTGACTTCTTTTGATATCTAGATACTACTGTTAAAGCGTTTGCGACTAGACTGACGCTAAATTCAAAGTTGGTCTTTACCCTAAATGCATACGCACGATCTCTTCAAATATCCCAACATATGAACTGAAACAGTGAAAGCTTCGCATATGCCAGTGACAAGCTTTACGAATAATATACATGATATTAGCCTGACTTGCCAAGCGTACGATGGATACAGAAATTTGTCTCTTTTGCTCTAATATATCATTTTTTGGAGGGATAACGTTTCTTTGGCTTGAACATGATAGTATTTTTGCCTAATCTGGATAATAATATCGGGCTGTGTTCTCTCTGATACTTCAAGCCTTCTTCTTTGGCGCGACCGGATCAATTTCTTTTTAAACATAGCGCATTATTCAATAACTGTTCAGAAAAAAAAGTGATACATACTTATGACAGTTGTCGACTACTCCCAGCTGCAGCCTCTCCTTATTTTCTCCTTGGTGTGAGCCTCCAACCAAAGAGCCACCATGCCAGCCTACGGTCCCAGTCTCATGGACCAGCCGTCCGAATGGTTCCTCGCGGGACAGCCGGACACCATGCGGAAGCTGAAGACGGCACCTTATGACCCTAAGAAGAACTTCTGGGCTCCTGACAAGAAGGAGATCTTCATCAGGGTCGAAGTCAAGAGCGAGAAAGGTGACGACGTCACCTGCGTGGATGAAAAAGGAGCGGTAAGTTTCTAACTACAACCATAGTTAGCAGCGTGGTTGTTCACTTCTGTCACATCTATATTGACTTATTTAATTTTTTTACAATATTTCTGGTTTGTCATGGATAGCAATGTTCATACATTTGAAGATATGAAGTAATGAAACTCTAAATTCCTTTCCCACCAGACTGTTGTGGTCAAGAAGTCCAAGCTGCTGCAGCAGAACCCGTCCAAGTTCGCCTGCGCAGAGGACATGGTGAACATGACCTTCCTGCACGAGGCCGCTGTGCTGGGTAACCTGAAGGAGCGTTATGAGAACACTCTCATCTACGTGAGTATGGTTTCTGTGAAGTTGTTCACATAGCTACCAGCATAGGCCATATGAAAGACGTGTTTTGCTAGTTTGATTTCAGATGAAGGTTGTTGCATTTGATTTGCAAGATAACAGTAAAACAGACTTCCACATAATTTTCTTACAGACCTACTCCGGCCTGTTCTGCGTCGTGATCAACCCCTTCAAGCTGCTGCCCATCTACACCTCAAGCGTGGTGGACCAGTACCGCGGAAAGAGGAAGACCGAGGTGCCGCCCCATCTCTTCTGCGTGGTGGACAACGCCTACCAGAACATGTTGGCAGGCAAGTCTTTTCGCTGGTCCTGTCAAATGCTTGTGGCGAAGTCAGTATTCTTAGAGGGCTGCGGAGTCATGGGCAGTCTTGAAATTTTGAAAAACCACTACGATTCTTTCTGTGCCGCCCCAGAACTACTGTATCAAAGCGAATGTTAATGGGTATGTAGGTGCGGATTTTTTGTATTGCTGTAGAGAAGGAAAATAAGAACCATTTGTTTGAAAGACCCTGAAATGTACGTCCTTTATGTTGTCTGATTTTATTGATCTAAGTCATCTTTTCTAATCATTCTTCCAGAACGCCAGTGCCAATCTTGCCTCATCACGTAAGTTTTTTCCCTATTATTATTATTGTCATCATTTTCATAAACGTTATTGATACCTTGTTAACGGCACTGTGTAATATAGAATTTCATTAATTCTTTTCTATTCATTTTAAATAACATTTCACCAAAAAGCATTTGCTGACCATGAAGGTGTTTTATATATCAAATGCTATATCCTGCCTTTAAACCAGTGGCGAGTCTGGTGCCGGAAAGACTGAGAACACGAAGAAGGTTATTGCCTACCTGGCCATGGTTTCCGGAACCCCCGGTGGTGGCCAGGAGAAGAAGGTACGTTATGTCGAAGAAAGTAGATTCTAAGATGCAAACAGAAATGGATGTCTACTGCATCTGTCATTCTTGTGAACTGGGGCCGTTGGATATTCAGTCCGACAGAGTGGGAAAATCTACACTGATAGGGACTGTTGAATTAAAAGAGGGTGGAAATACAGCGCGCTAGAAGGAAACTAAAACGGCAAGCCCAAAAGGCTTTGCTAAGATGGGATTGTGTATCTTATTCACGTGACTGAAATTTTAAGGGTATTTTTGGAGAGGGTATTTTTGAATGTTGACTTAGATAGTTCAGTAATGTTGCCTGCTTGCAGTAGAAATGTGTACGATATTCCACAAACACGAAAATAGTCCATTCTTGAAGGCCATTCATGTCCATGGTGATCTTATTCCTTGTCCTTCATCTTTACAACAGATCGGTCTAGAGGAGCAGATCGTGCAGACTAACCCTGTACTTGAGGCTTTCGGTAACGCCAAGACCGTGAGGAACAACAACTCGTCCCGTTTCGTAAGTACAACAGGTTGATGATATCCATATATCCATATAATGAATCACGTCGTTGACTATGCGAATGTGGACAATTGATATCATGCCTTCTTGTTATGCCACGTATGAATCCGCTTGACGAATAATTAGGGACTGAGTAATTAAAAAACCTATCAATTCTAACATTCTAACGTCTACATCAATTGTCTAATTTTCCAATAAACAGCCCCCTGCTGCAGGATGCATGTATGTTCACTCACTTATTAGCAGCCTATATGTGACTACATGTTCCTTCGTGTGGTACATGACACCATCGAATAATCTGTTATTCTCATTGACTACCTCCAGGGTAAATTCATCCGTATCCACTTCACCAAGCCTGGCAAGCTGTCCGGAGCTGACATTGAAAGCTGTAAGTACACATTGATTGCTATTAGTCAATGTCCAATATTTCTTGACAAGAATACAATTTTTATCTGTTGATGTGTTACGATATGAGAAAGTTAAACTCAACTCACGGTCATTCTGCCGGCAGACCTGCTGGAGAAGTCCCGTGTAGTGGATCAGCTGCCCGGCATGGAGCGTGGTTACCACATCTTCTTCCTCATCATGTCCAACGGCATCCCGGCTGTCACTGGTGAGTAGGGTCGATTGGTGATTGGTGATATGGAGGATAACCTGGAAGCTAAACTCGCTGAAGAATAATACCCCGTCCCCAATTAACGTCCCCGTCCCCAATTAACGTCCCCGCTTGCCTCAAGCGTAAACGTCGAGGCTGGCGGATAATACAGAGGGGGCGTGAGTTGGGGACACGGTATAACTCTCCTGTGAACGGTACGCTCTCAGCGCGCAACCTAGTGACATTTGGTTCCGAGGGCTGGGGTACATGCGGGGCAAAAATCGGAAAAAATTAAAGTAGCTGGCCTCACAGTGAACTCTATCACTTACAAATCTCCACGCTAACAAAAAAAACCTTATTTAGACAGAGTGCATGCTAGGATTCCGATAGGAGGCAAATACACTCGTGGTCATCCAAAGAGATCCTCGAGGTCTTGACGCTACTACAACAGAAAAGTATCCATCCCATGAAAGACAATACTAAGGCTTATCCAAAAGGGTGCTAGTCTAAGTGCTAGTAGGGAACGTTGTGTGATCCACCTTCATTTTGTTGTCATGCAGAGCGCATCATGACTGGCACGGACCCCTCCCTGTACCACTTCATCAAGGAGGGTGTGTACACCGTGGCTGGTATGAACGACCAGGAGGAGATGGGCCTGACCGATGAGGGTTTCGACATCCTAGGTTTCGCTAACGAGGACAAGAACAGCGTGTACGACTTCTGCGGTGGTATCCTGCACATGGGTAACATGAAGTACGCAGACAAGAAAGACCAGGCTGATTGCGAGGATACTGGACGTAAGTTTTCGCTATCATGTGCTTCTATTGTTTACTTCCAGACTCCCAAGTCATCAGTAATACACCTGTCAGTACATTTTCAGTATTGCTGATAAGAATCGAGTATGCCAGTAAGACTAATAGTATTGTTTAACCACTATGCTTCATTTTACAGCTGCCGAGAAGGCAGGCCGCCTGTTCGGTGTCGATGGCATGCAACTTTTGAACAACATCTTGAAGCCACGTGTCAAGGTCGGCAACGAGTTTGTGACCAAGGGCCAGAACGCAAACCAATGTACCAACGCTACTTCTGGTCTGGCCAAGGGCATCTATGGCAAGGTCTTCAAGTATCTGATTGACAAGTGTAACGAGACCCTGGCTACTGAGCACGAGAGAGCCTTCTTCATTGGTGTGCTGGATATTGCTGGCTTTGAGATCTTCGAGGTGAGTTTTATACGATACAAAACAGAGAGCTTATACTTGTTGAGTTGTTGCGCTGAGTGACCTCTCGATGCTTCGTTTCTCTAACTAACCTGACCGCTTCATATTTGTCAATCCAGCTCAACAGTCTTGACCAGATTTGTATCAACTACACCAACGAGAAGCTGCAGCAGTTCTTCAACCACCACATGTTCGTACAAGAGCAGGAGGAGTACAAGGCTGAACAGATTGATTGGGAGTTCGTCGACTTCGGTATGGACTTGGCTGCCTGCCTGGAGCTCATCGAAAAGGTTGATAGCAAATTTTATTTCCTTAAATTAAAATTAGAATACGTAAGCAATAATAAGTTGTAACAGCTTCATATACCATGGATGCTTCCTATATCACCAAGCCTTAATGTGGAAGTATATTCTGGGCCATCTATCAATGGCAAAATTGCTTAGTGGCACATTGATAATTCGTAACCAAATACAACGAATTGTTTTTACAGAAAGGAGGTCTGCTGCCAACCCTAGAGGAGCAGTGCATCATGCCCAAGGCCTCTGACCAGACCTTCATAGAGAAGTTGAATAGCACCCATCTGGGCAAGCATCCCAAGTACGGCAAGCCCAAGCCAGGCAAGAAGAAGTACGAGGCTCACTTTGAGCTGGGTCACTACGCCGGACCTGTGGCCTACAACATCTCCAACTGGCTGGACAAGAACAAGGACCCCGTGAACGAGAGCGCTGTCATCACCCTGAAGGGCAGCAAGAACCCGCTTATGCCTTTCATCTGGGCAGACTACCAGACAGCTGAGGAGCAGGCTGGTCAGTAATCCTAATGAATCTTTGTGTTTTGCGCGAGCTCTTTCACAGAATTTAACAGGCCTTTTGTTTATTCATGAATACTCAAACCGGTCTGGTGGCGGCTTTTCAAATGTAGAACATCGCTCTTAGAAACACGTCATGATATAAGTCCCCCCCCCCTTCTACAGCTGACAAGAGCGGTGGCGGCGGCAAGAGGAAGAAGAGTGGCTCTATGCAGACTGTGACCAGCGTTCACAGGGTAAGCTTTGTATATACATTTATACTGATGGTCACCGTGATCATGAAAGCATATCGAAGTACTGCTTTGTAGTTAGTTTTCGAGTCATAATTGCATTCATGTACAACAACGTATATCTCATCTGCTGACTTTCTACTATGTGCTTCCACAGGAGCAACTGGCTTCATTGATGGCCAACCTCCACGCCACCTACCCCAGCTTCGTGCGTTGCCTGATCCCCAATGAAATCAAGACTGGTGGTATCATCGACGGGCCTCTGGTCTTCAACCAGCTGACTTGCAACGGTGTACTTGAGGGTATCCGTATCTGTCAGAAGGGCTTCCCCAACAGGAGCATCTATGCTGACTTCTTCGACAGGTGAGATTTCTGTTATCAACGCCAGGTTTTGAACAGTGCAAAGAATTCCAGGAGGAAAAAGACAGTGAATTTCGTTATATCCTGTAGAGTTTAATCCAGCGAAACGTACGTTTTACAATATGCGTCATTCCGGTATACACGAATGTACAACATGCAATATCACCATCCCTAGGTACAAGATCCTGGCCGCTGACCAGTTCGATCCCAACGAGTTCGAGGAGGGCAAAGTGTCCTGCCAGAAGATCTTGGACAAAATCCAGCTGGACAAGGCCAGGTACTCCTGTGGTCTCAACAAGGTGTTCTTCAAGGCCGGCACCCTGGCTATCCTTGAGGAGATCCGCGAGGAGAAGGTCAACGAGATTTGGTCCAAGATCAGCGCTCGCGCCCAGGGCAAGCTCCAGCGCAAGAAGTACCTGAAGCTGTGGGGCTCAAGGTGGGCCTTTAATCTGTGTAAACCTGACGTTCATACGTAACATTCTATCATCTGGATATCAATGTTTCTTGTATAAATGACATCTGAATCACGTGGATGAACTAACTGTTCACCAATTAGCATTTCTAAACCGACCAAATCACAAACTAAGTTTTTAACTGTAACGTTCCCCGCAGGGCGGCCGTCGGCACACTGCAGCGCAACATCCGCGCCTGGTTCAGGCTGCGTGATGACTGGTGGATCAGGATGTACCAGGCTCTGAAGCCCAAGCTGACCGGAGGCAGGGCCGAGGAGATGCTCAAGGAAACCACTGAGAAACTGAAGGTAGGGGACCTTCTCAGAACTATAACGGAACGGAAGTTTTAAAACAACAACCCTCGGTATAAAATTCATTCTACATGATGAGAATGAATATAGAATTAAAGACACAGAAGATGTCTAAATTGTAAGGACGTATATATTTACGCTGCAAGCACGAACTAACCCTGACATGATTATTATGTTAGGTATTTAGTAATTTATTTTTGTATTAATTTCAAATCTTATTGTGTTCCCGTGACCACCCACCCCCCTCAACTGGACCTCTGGGAAGAGCGACTAAGGCCGACAGGGCATTTCCAGTATAAATAAAGGGTATTGATTGATTGATTGATTGATATCCTTGCAGGTCATGGCGAAGACATACGAGAAGGTCACCAAGGAGAGGGAGGAGCTACAGGCGAAATACAACGAGGTCTCAGCCGCAAAGGACAAGATCAATGAGCTGCTGTTCAACGTAAGACCCCGTAATGTTTTATATACAATAATGAATAGTTTATACTGTTGTGTAGTATTCAAATGATATATGCACAATTGATCAGCGGTTGTAACTTTGCTTTACAATGTAAAAACAAAAACGTTCATTTTCTTTGTTGGCCTGCCGAATACTAAAGTAACTCAAGAAATCGTAAGTAGAATTTCATTGGACAAGAAGTAGTACGCTATTGTCATCCACCATAGGTACGTCTTGCGTGGTTAACACAGTGTATGTATATTCTACAATACACTGACTTTATTTCTACTACAGGAGAGGGACATCATGTTGAACGGCGAGGAGCGCGTGAATTCCCTGCTGAAGGAGAAGGCAGAACTGGACGCCCAGCTGCAGGAAATCGAGGAGCGCGTGGAGGATGTGTCCGACCAGAACAGGCAGATGGAGTCCAAGAAAATGAAGGTATAATTTTGTTGAAAGTTTTTCTTCTAGAGTTAGACTGGAAGCAATTTCTACTGCTATTTGCATGCAGCAGCATTGCAAATTCCGGATGGGCTTACATATATGTCAGAAGTCTATTATATAGGACAACGTGCACGATTAGGCCATGACAAGTTTCAACATTGCATATATTTCATCCAACTACAACTTTTCTTGAACAGGCGGAACAGGAATGCGACGAGATGAAGAAGGAGATTGAAACCATAACGCTCAAGCTTAACAAGAGGGAGAAGGAAAAGCAGGAGGTTGAGGACAAACTGCGCGCCATGACTGAGGAGGTGGCCGTCAACGACGAGCTGATCGGCAAGCTCGGCCGCGAGAAGAAGAAGCTGGAGGAGCTCAATGCGGTAAGACATCGTGGCAACGATTAAAAAACTGTAATGTTGTACTTATAGTACAACTGCATTTGTTTCTTTATCTCTTGCCTATCTACATACTTAAGCATTGAGAATTGTCTAAATCATAATTCAATTTCTTTACAACCACTTCAATTTCTGATGCTTTTACGAATGAGATTTTCACATATTTATTGTCAAACAAATTTCAGCAAACCCTGGATGACCTTCAGTCTGAGGAAGACAAGACCCAGAACCTCACCAAGCTCAAAGTCAAGCTGGAGCAGACCTTGGATGACGTAAGAGAAACTTCATATTCCGGTGGACTGATCAAATATGACAGTTAATTTTGTAAACGATTGGCACTCATGACAAAATTTAGAATACCAAAGCTTATGCGTGTAAGTTGTAACATGTCTCTTGTTATTCATTTCTATTCGAGCCTTCGTCGTATTACAGTATGTACATGAGGTACGACGGTAACGTACGATCTAAGTTCTAGCTGTGTCTTTTATTCAGCTTGAGGACAACCTTGAGCACGACAAGAAGATCCGTGCTGATGTTGACCGCGTCAAGAGGAAGCTGGAGAACGACCTGAAGAACGCCCAGGATCTGGTGATTGAACTTGAGCGCTACAAGGTCGAGCTTGAGGAGAAGCTGAAGAAGTGAGTGACTCAGACACTTAACAACTAATCAACTTAACAGTTTCGTAATTCAAATGCGATTACATCTTAAAAAGAAAAGTCACTTTTTAATATCACATATGCTTGTGCCTTTTACACACATCGGATATTCAAATAGTTCCCTTTAAATGACTCATGTAGGAAGGAGTTCGAGATCAACGCCCTGAACACCAAGGTTGAGGATGAGACTTCCCTGGCAACTCAGCAGCAGAAGAAGACCAAGGAGCTGCAGGGCAGGATCGAAGAGCTCGAGGAGGAACTGGAAACAGAAAGAGCTGCTCGTGCCAAGGTATCTAAAGTCTCGACAAATACATACATAGATGCTACATTCATCGTCTTCTCGATGAATTTCAATACATTATTATGGACTTTAGAGTAGAATTGTGTAAATCGATAGACCTGTGTCCTATGTGTGATTAAAATACATTTATAACATTATGTAACAGTTCAATGTCAGGAGAAAACACAAAGTGCACCAGTCTTACGCTCATCTAAATCACAGAGCAAAATCAGTCAAACTCACGAATACTCTGACCTTCACAGCTCGAGAGGCAGCGCGCTGAGCTCTCCCGTGAGCTGGAAGACATCGGTGAGAAGCTGGAGGAATCTAGCGGCGCCACCGCTGCCCAGGTTGAGCAGAACAAGAAGAGGGAGGCTGAGCTCCAGAAGGTATGGGCCATTGTGTATAGAAAAAAAAGCAAAGATAGATGTAACCTGTCGCGATTACACTCTAGACAAATAAAGAAGTCCATAGGTGCCTTGCATTACATCCATCACAAGTCGTGTAAAAAAGGAATCAATCCTTTCCGTCATTTGACAATGATTTCATATTGGTGTGGCCATCTTATAGGTCCGCCGTGAGCTGGAGGAGGCTACCATCGGCCATGAAGCCGCCACCGCCAGCTTGAGGAAGAAGCACAACGACACCGTGGCAGACATGACTGAGTCAGTCGAGAACCTGCAGAGGGCCAAGACCAAGCTTGAGAAGGAGAAGAACTCCCTCAGGGTGGAGGTCGATGATCTGGCTTCCAACGTCGAGCAGGTCACCAAGCAGAAGGTACATGCCATTCTTTATATACTCAGACCGTGATCAGAAGGTAGGACTAGTAGAAGTGTTGCAGCCTGTCGACGTCTGTAAGTTTAGATAGAATAATATGCATGATATGCAATATATGACATATACCACACTGTTTTTCGATGTGCATCATTTCCTATATCTTATATATGTGGTACATAATCCATTACAGGTCCAAGCTGAGAAAATGAACAAGCAGCTGGAGGATCAATTCGTTGATGCCAATGCAAGGTTGGAGGAGAATGGCCGTGTCGCACAGGAACTGGGATCCCTGAAGACTCGCCTGACCGCCGAGAACAACGACCTGCAGCGCCAGCTGGAGGAGTCAGAGGGCGTGTCTAACCAGCTCAGCAGGTAAAGATCGCCAAAAGTTGCCATCTACCTACGGTATCAATATGTTATCAAGCCGTTCAAAGAATCATAGAATACCTCTTACGCAAAATGTTGTTGTAACTTACAGGACCAAGAGCATGCTGACACAGCAGATGGAGGAGGTCAAGCGCCAGCTCGAGGAGGAGACCAAGGGCAAGAATGGTTTCGCCCACCAGCTGCGTGCTACTCAGTCCGACTGCGATGCTCTGCGTGAGTCCCTGGAGGAGGAGCAGGAGGCCAAGTCCGAGATTCAGCGTAATCTGGCCAAGGCCAACTCTGAGGTGGCGGCCTGGCGCTCCAAGTACGAGACCGACGCCATCCAGAGGACCGAGGAGTTGGAGGAGGCCAAGAAGAAGCTGGCCGCTCGTCTGCAAGACGCCGAGGAACAGGTTGAAGCCGCCAACGCCAAGTGCGCCAGCCTTGAGAAGACCAAGAACAGGTTGGCTGGCGAGGTGGAGGACCTGATGTTGGATGTGGAGAAGGCCAACACCCTGGCGTCTCAGCTGGAGAAGAAGCAGCGTCTGGTTGACAAGCAGACCGCCGAGTGGAGGCAGAAGTGCGAGAACCTTGGTGCCGAGATGGAGTCATCCCAGAAGGAGCACCGCGCCTACCAGACCGAGCTTCTGAAGCTGAAGAACGTCTACGACGAGGGCATTGAGGCCCTTGACGCCATGAAGAAGGAGAATAAGGCTATCCAGGGTAGGCTCAAACGTCTACTATTGCCAATTTGGTCTTGACTTGACTTTTATCCAACCTATAGTTGGTGTTATTGTGTTATTTAAGTATAACTCTAATGAAAATATAAAATACACATGACTGACATAACGTCTTGAATGGTCCACAGAGGAGATCAACGACTACAATGACCAACTTGCCGAGAGCGCAAAGAACCTCCACGAGCTTGAGAAGAACAAGAAGCGCCTGGAAGTTGAAAAGGAGGAGCTCCAGAACGCCTTGGACGAGGCAGAGGGCGCTCTTGAGATTGAGCAGGGCAAGGTGATCATTCATTGTCCAAGCTTACACTTGATTAAATGGTTCTAATGATTCTACCGGTGAAAACATTTCTCCACCAAACTACATTGAGACGATGTTAATTTTACAATTCTATTCCAGGTTGTCAGGACTCAGCTTGAACTGGCCCAGCTGAAGGGTGATATCGAGAAGAAGATCGCCGAGAAGGAAGAAGAGTTTGAGAGCTCCCGGTGAGTAGCTTTCGCTTTTTTAAAAGTCAGTTGGTAGCGTTTGAAAGAATACAACCCATCTGCCAAAATATTTCTGCTGTAACCCTGTCTTTGAGCATAAATTCTTCTTCGTAGTAATAAATGGAAAAGTTTAATCAACTCATTCCATCCGATATCCTGCCATTTCAGCAAGAACCAGAACCGCGCAATGGAGGGAGTTCAGGCCTCTATCGAGATCGAGTCCAAGCAGAAGGGAGAAGCCCAGCGTGCAAAGAAGTTCTTGGAGAGCCACCTGAACGACGTTGAGGTTCAGCTGGAGACCGCCAACAGGTCCAACGCCGAGGCCAGGAAGAACATCGCCAAGCTGCACTCACAGATCCAGGAGATGCAGGTACCTATAGCAAAAATACACAGCGTCCTATGATTTTCTTCTTATTCGCCTCATAAAATAGCTAGCCAGCACCATTTAATCATTTGACATGCAAAGCAATATGGAGTCCGTCTTTCAAGTATTAATTGACAATATTGACAACAAGCTGGACGTATGTAAAATTTTCTTTGCATACTTCAGGTCGCCATCGACGACGAGCAGAGGCAGCGTGATGAGATCCGTGAGCAGTACAACATGTCTGAGCGCAAGTGCCAGATGCTGGTCGCCGAGGCCGATGAGGTAAAGCCCGATGACTATACATTGTAGCTGTCAATGTCGTACGGATAGACTTTTCTGCATCATACATTGTCGTCGGCATTTCTTTCAGCCTCTTGAGGCAATGTACTTCGCTATGTTACACAATAATAGTCAATTAAAACAATTACTGCATGTAATGTGTTAGTATTGCATTCAAATATTTTCGTTCTGCAATCTGCGTCAAGGTGCGCGGGGCACTGGACAACGCCGAGAGAGCCCGCAAGGCCGCTGAATCTCAGCTGGTGGAGACCAACGAGAGGCTTGGCGAGCTGAGCACACAGAACTCAGCCCTGTCTGGACACAAGCGTAAGCTGGACGGCGACCTGCAGACCATCCAGTCTGAGCTGGAGGAGGTCATCGGCGAGCACAAGAGCACCGAGGAGAGAGCCAAGAAGGCCATGGCTGATGTATGTACAAGCGACTTTTGTTTTTACTATGTCTAATTTTGACAAGTTGCCGCGCTTGTTGTACTAGTCCTTGGACTCAACATTTATTGATATACAAAATATCATCTTCACCATTCCAGACTTCCCGCATGGCCGAGGATCTGCGTGTGGAGCAGGAGAACTCTCAGCACGCCGAGAAGGTGAAGCGCACCATGGACGCCAACCTGAAGGATCTGCAGCGCCGCCTGGATGAGGCTGAGGCCATCGCTCTCAAGGGAGGCAAGCGCGCCATCCAGAAGCAGGAGAACAGGGTGAGTATTAAGACACAACTCTCTAAACACAACCACTATATATGGTTCTATATTTCCATGGTTATTTATAGTATTGTTAAAACTATTCTTCACTTGAAATGTGTGTACGTATCCCAAAACGTTGTTTGTCCGGCAGATCCGTGAGCTGGAGGGAGAGATCGCCCAGCAGAACCGCCTTCACCAGGAGGACCTGAAGCAGCTGCGTAAGAACGAGCGCCGCCTCAAGGAGATGACCTTCCAGGCCGACGAGGACCGCAAGAACCAGGAGCGCATCCAGGAGCTGGTCGAGAAGCTGCAGCTGAAGATCAAGGCCTTCAAGCGCCAAGTGGAGGAGGCTGTAAGTATTTTGCCAAATACATTGTCCATGTATGCAAGGACGTTATATGAAGCTCCTTGATGTATGTTGTCTGTTACTACAGCACATTGCTACATTTTAGTCCATAAACGCCTGATCAAGCGATTCAATCTTGAATGTTCTTCTGACTTCAGGAGGAGCAGGCTTCATCGAACATGGCCAAGTACCGCAAGGCCCAGCACGAGTACGAGGATTCTCTGGAGCGTGCCGAGATTGCCGAGAGCTCCCTCAACAAGCTCCGCACCAAGGCTTCCAAGTCCTAAATGGGCAATTACCGATGGAAGCCTATTGTCTTGCATCCTGCATTATGCAGATGCGTTAATTCGCATTTGACGTCGTAGTTTGTTCTTTTTCTGAATAAATTACGATCCCCAAACCACAACTGCTTTGCCTGATGTTTCTACCTTAATACAGTCCCATTTGTCATACCTAACATACGCTTATATATATATATATATAATTATTACACGTGCACTACGAAAGGAATAATGTATTCAGTTATATGAGCAGTTACTTTCTCCTTGTAAGGCGACCGTCGAAGAAAATGTAGATTTTAAAAGCAACCGCCATTTGTTATTGGACAATATTTCTGAGTTAAACAGGAAGAATCGTGAAGCGTTATGTTGAAATGATGGCGGAGAGGGGAGTGCACATGGAAATAATCAACAGAACACCTTTTCCTCTACTGATGACTCGGTAGGCCAGTGACCATTGTTTACAGACAGATTTTTGAGTGTTTCATGATTTCAGTCCGAGTTTGTTTGTTTTTTTGCTCTGGCTTGTACATGTAATTGAAAACGACCCGTAATAAACCGTCGACGTTGTGCGCTAATGGACCAGGGCGGGCGGGGATCCTGGACACCGCGAGATACCAGCTTACGAAGGGTCACGAAGGTCTGGCGAAAAGGCTAACGTCTCGGCCACCAAAAGCCACAGTGAATCAACATATGACATCATAGAAGGGAAGATACTACGGAAAACTGCCGTGGGTTGCCGGTTAGAAACTCTGGACTGAACAGCAAAATTCTATAAATGTTAGGATGAAATCAATTCCGTTTATAAGCGGATTGACTTTACAATGAACTCACAGCAAGAAATTTCTAGTTCTTGACAAGATATCATTTCAATTCTAGCCAATGTAAATTGGTCGATATGTGGAGCACGGCTGTCACTTCCTAAAAGTAAAACTCACGCAGCGCAGAAATTCCAACCGTGGATTACACGCACTAAGCTATTTTGTCAGATGATCCCCGCGACCGTTAGCATAAGTGGCGAGGAGCAGCTGTTACAAATATGAGATACAGCCCATCCCTTCGAGAGAAGAATCGTTCATCTACAGGGTCTTCCATTGACCAATATTCTTCTGTACTGTATATATATTCTGAATCAAAACGATTGATGTGGGTTCCCAAGTGGGTTATTAAATACTAGAACGGGGCCGTGTTGGAAGCAAGGAAGTCCGTGTGAAGAATTTCGACCTCAAAACATATGTCTTTATTTTATTGTCTTTATTCCCTGCCTTCGTTTCTGAAATGCCACCTACCTCTTTCGCGAGGTAGGCGGTGTAAAGCAAAGCAATACATACATGTAATGTAAGTACTAAGTATTGGTTGCAATAAGTTACGATCAGCGTATGAGCAATGCGAAAGACAGCGGGATTTGGGAGGTGCTGATAACCAATTATTAACTGCTATTGCAATCAAAACCGTCAGGGGGCGCAAAATGTTGTCCTGCGTGGGTCAAGGGTATGGCCTTGCAAAGAGGTAAATCTTCCTGGGCCGACCGACACACCAGAAAGTAACTCTATAATTTAGAAGAAAAAAAAAACTTTAACTTTGATTTTTAATTTTCCTAAACACACAAACATACAAATTGTGACACAGGACGAGCTTTAATAACAGTCACCGAAATTATGTACTCACGGCCTAAACAAACACAAAAACAAACAACACTTTAATATCTGAAGTTGTCAGGTGGCCCGGGAGAGTTAAACATCACGGTGGTCCATCGCCAACTTATCTCCAACTCCGAAGTAGCCTCTACCAGGCTTCGGGAGGCGGCTGTAAAGAGTAGAAATCGGCCAAATAGAGAGATAGCATGCAAGGAGCTGGAGAGCAGAGCACTCAGCCAGGTGCGGCAAACTGTTCTCTCCAGCAGACCAACCCCTCTGACATGCCCTCTCTCTCTATTTGGCCGATTTCTACTCTTTCCAATCGCCTCCCGAAGCCTGGTAACTCCGAGGGGAAATATTCGTGTTCTGTATTTTCTGTCTGCAACCGCCCCCCACCCCCAACAACAAAACGTCGTCATGATCTCTGCAGGCAAAATACGGATAGAACTATGATGCAGAGAACTGGATACACATGACACTATGCACTGTATCAACTGATCTGATCATTCATAACACTGATGTGTATCCTGTATCCAGACGCCCCAGTCAGTGAACTCCGTCTGGGGCATGCCGCGGCGCGCGCCGAAAATCAGCTGGCCTGACATTCATCATTTGAGGGCCAGCTGTTGACGGTACAGCGTTAGAATTACATGTACACCGTGCGTACGATACACGAGAGACTGGAATAGTTGCTAATAGTTGACTTACCCGGGTCAAGGATGTATCATTTCGTGTCAACAAGCCGATAAATGAATCATAAATAGGAGACTCATTCATGGATCCCGCCGAAAGATGTCCCGCCAGGCTCAGCTTCAGTCAGAGTCTCGTAGCTCTGCATTGACGGCCTCTGATTCGGCCCTACCGCAGTCGGTTACTGACATACATTGTGGTGTTTCTTGTTTCATGAATTGCCTGTCTTTCGTGATATCTATATCAAACAGTCAACACATTCTTACAACAACTAATTCTCTTGGCTACGCGTGATCAGGGTTTCAGTTCATGTTCGGCCGCGGGAAACGTGCTGCATCTGGTTAGGGACAGACCAGAAACAAACGTGGGGAGTGTGTGAGAAATTTAAACTTGGCGCAACAAATTGAAAAGATCCTACATTATTTCCTTATTCTATTCAACGTTATCATTTAAACTGTTTGGTATAAATAATCATTTTTCTGATTTCTTTGTTAACTGTAAAATTCTTTTATTTGGTCATTCCTTCGAACTATTACTGGTTGGTCCCTAAGGATACCCTCGAATCTTGGAGCTAAATGTGGTGCTAGATACGCAAAGTCTTCGGAGAATGGGGTAAGCTCAGGATGTAAGTTGGCCATAGGGCAGCGATGGAGACCATAGTATAAATATTAAAAAATAAATAAATAAAGGGTGATGTCAGGATCGGAGGGCGGGTGTCATACGGTCAGGGTGCGGTGGTGTGTGCGGATTGGAAACTTGGGGGTGGGGGTGTTGGCCATGGGGGCATGCCGACAAGATCGGGGATTTGTGTGACCCGGCCGCGTTGTCCAGGGGAAGGGGTAAGGTGGCATTGTAAGCGGGTTGGGTGGAGGCACAGTTCTGAGAGATTGGCAATTTTGATCATTACAAAGTTTCCAGTTAAGTTGAACGGACTCCCTTCAGGCAGTACATACACTTTCCTTTTGTTGAAAGCCTGTTCCTGACACAGAAACCCTGATAACTTACCCTCCTGACAGCAAACTTGAGAAGTCCGTGAGGACCTGCATGCCGCATTCCTCCATGGTCCAGATGAAGTAGTTTTCGGCGGCGCGCTTGGCATCGGGGCCGCTTACGTGATCCGGATGGATCTGAACCCGTCCGTCAGCAGGGCCCGTACACAACACCGGAGTTTGTGCATGTGATAGTGTTCGTACTCAATATTCGATACTCAAGTATGGGAATTTGAGGCCCTTTGTTTAGTGATGGAAGTAGATACGTCGCAGTTTAAACAGTTATCATTTAGGTCGTTAACAGAAAAATGTTGGGGTAGAGAGGGGGGAGGTGTAAGGTAAATAATTATACAAATGCTCGCATTTACATATTCACTGTGACGGTGACTTGGTGTTTCTAACCTCTGTTAGACATGGCACAAACGCTTCGTACGGGTGTTTGCAAAATTATTACCAGTACAAACTCAAGATCAGTGCTCTCTTTGCCTGCTTGTGATGTAATGAGCTATTCGTTATATGGTTCGGATAACAGCGCTAGACCTCTTTTGTGGACTTTGTGGAAAGTAATAGAAATCGGTCAGTTAGGATGGTATAGATGGTCTGTTGTCTTATCATTTTCCCCAATCTTTTATTCCCATTTGCTCGGCCCACAATGGGGTCTGATGGTCATAAGCTTAGAGGTGGCGGAAAGAGCCTCTCTGGGTAAAGTGCAGGGGGTATGTTTATAGTCCATGGATAGTTTCGGCCACCTGTTACACAAGCCTACAGAAACTTTAGCGGGGTCGCTTGCATGTATAGATAGGGTGATGGGGTTTATCAACCTTAACCCTCTCCCAGCTAGCCTCTGTTGATATTCAATACAAACTGTTGCCTGACAACATCCATAGTGGTCGGAGGGTTAAAGCGAATCAATGCTAGCCGGTGTGTTTTTCAGTGTGCTCGGACAGTTTCGGTCACGCCCTCACCGAAACTTTCGCGTGTTTGCATAGGTTTGTCCATGCGATGGCATTGATAACATCGACGCGTGTATTGATTACGAGGGAAAGAAAACACTGCTTTTGTTTAGCCTCCTTCGCAGACCTCTGAGGTGGCGGCGTTTTTTCGGATGGTTTTGCCGTAGACTTCTGAGCTCGAGGAGGCGGCGTTTTTTCGGGGAGCGCCGAGTGACTGCAGGGGAGAGACGGTTTACCCGGCAAAGTCCCTCGGCGGCAAAACCGTCCCCGCGGCATAACACGCGTCGCTTCCCGAAAAAAGATTACCTCGCCACCTTAGAAGTCTGCAAAGAGGCTAGCTTTTGTTGAGAAATGAGAGAAAAAGATACGCACCAATGTTCGCACCCAGCAAGCAGCGAAACTGCTACAACTTGAGATGTTGCCGTGGGTATTTTATACATTAGAGGACCATTGATTAACATTAAACACCCGAAAGGTGAGAAATGCGTCGTAAATAAGAAGCCATTTGAAAAATAGGAGATGCACATCTCTTTTCTTCTTCCTCTCTCGCACAGGGGTTATAATGGTTGCTCTAGTCGTTACCATCCACAAATCTAACTTTGTTTGGCTACAAATATAAGTAGGCAGGGGCAGGGGAAAGGAATAGAAAAGAAACAAGAGAGCGAGAGAGAGAAGGAAAAAGAAGGAACGAAGAAAAACACTGTAGATTTCTCAGAAGAAGAGCTTATCATTTGATCTGACATGGATCTATATAAAGATCGGCGGTTTTTGTTCTTTGATGTTGCATGTTTCGGAGCGACATTCTCGTGTTTACGTTGCCAACCTGGCTCCTGCCGATACTTTTGTGTGCCGGCTGGGTTGGGTTACCGAAACTATGGAGGGTCCTAAAGGTCAGCTGTAGACAGACTGCGCACGCAGGTATAAAAGCAGGTGCGCTGTTGCGCCGCACCGCCTTCTCACGGTAACAGCTGGGAGTCGACGTCTGCGAGCGTGCTCAGACATTTTACCTTTGCACGAAAGCGTTCCAACATGGCAGTCGTGTTTAGATCAGCGTTCTTCGTGTTGATAGTCCTCATGTCAACGCAAGGTAAGCTAAGGGTTGTTATTGTCTGTTGGTAACCGCCAGTCTCTCCCGGGCTGCAGGCGGGGTTTCTGCGGCTGTGTTCACGGTAAGCTTCTACCCCGCCGGGCCAACTTAGCTTATAATTACCCCGATAATTTATTGCCTGGAACAATTAACTCTCGTTGCTACGTATACGGGTTTCCATCAGGGGGACTGAGGCAAACTTTCCTCGGGGACATGCCGACCATTGAGCTGAAGTGGCCCGTATAGGCCCTGGAATCAGCCTGGCATTCAGGTTACTTTGCTCGTGGCTCTCCGAAAAAGCCCTCTTGCTGACGACTGCTTGCTGATGAATCTATGTCAGAAACACCTAGAAAATTTCTCCGCTTTCATACAAAATTGATATCAATATTAATAGCTGTACAGTTTATTACCTGTTTATCTTTGGCGTCAAAAGATACCCAATTGATTGCATACATTTGATGCTAGCGCTAGAATAAGCGATGAAGAATATGTGTTGGGCCTTAGATCTGCACCATTGATTATTCTTTGTGTTAACTTGAACCTTGGATCACGGTCGAGTGCATTGTTTTCACAGGGCCAAAACCTGGCCGTTGTATTGGCAACGCAATTTTAGATGATGATGTTAATGGCTATTATAAATTTTCGTGAGTACAGGCGTTCTAAATTGCTGTCTGGCCTACGAAACTTAGGCAACCATTAAGCATCAGTCATTGTGTTGATGTTTATTTTTCTTATCAGTAAGTGAAACATTAACGTGTGTCTACTGTGTGAGTGACATTTTATCACCTTGGATCCGCGCCAAAGTCGTTCCTTACAATAACGATTACGCCCAAACCTCGAAATTTGATGAATAAAGTGTTTTCTCGGCTCTTTGCTATATCTCCCTGTATTCAGGGAAAATAAAATAACATAGAAAATTACCAAATTAAAAACAATGTAAAATTCCAAAAGGTCAGGGACAGGAAATGCCTTTGGTCCGGACCCAGCTAGCTATATAGGAGATGGACATGCCCTAATACAAAGTACTTCGCGGAAGTCTGAAATCTCAGATGTCGACGTCTTGTTCATGTTGGTTTCTGCATGCATGTTAGTCGCCGGCCAGAGCTCCACGGCTAACCTAGAGGCCCTACTCCGGGACCACTTCAGCACCAACCGCCACCACGTCACCAACATCCTCGGCAAGATGGCGGCCAGAGACTTCATTTACGACACTTGGAAGGTTTACGGCATGCAGGTGTTCCTGCACTACTTCCAGACCGCCAACGTTGTGGTGAGTGTGCGTGCGTGTGTGTGTGTGCGTGTGTGACACAAACGTCATAAAAATGTCTTCGTGGACAGCAAATCCACGTCAAGCATACTATCAAGCACGCAGGCGAAGCGTTGCCTTGAATCTATGTAGACCAATCACTGAATTTGGTACCTTCAAATTCGATGACCTTGATGTGGCACTACGCTGAAGTCACGTGTCCACACATGTACGGTCACGTGCGTCATTCGTCCTGAAGGAGGCACTACTGTAGGTGCGATGAGTTCAAGTTTTCTTGCGTTCGATCTAAGAAATGAATATATTGTATGTATGTAATATGCTATATTCCGCAGTACTCTGCCTCTAATGTCGTTGGGCTGTGGCCGGGCCGCTACACGGGGACTGCGGCGGACAGACCCGTCCTGCTGACCGCCCACTACGACACCATGCGCGACACCCCCGGAGTGGACGACAACGGGTCCGGCCTGGCCGCCCTGATGGAGTCCGCCCGGCTCATCACCTCACAGCCCTGCCTGCAGGACCACACCGTGGTCTTCACGGCGTTCGACCTGGAGGAGTGGGAATCAGGTAGGGCCTTACAAAATTCATTTTCAGTTTATTTCGTTGTTAGTTTGTTGACAAGGAGACAAGACTGGCTGGCTACGCACATGCATCTGATGCTTTCATCAATTTATAACTTCAAAAGTAAAACAGCATGTTTAACAGTGTGGATCATCTGATCAAGGAATGTGGGCTTAATATCCCTTCCAAAAGTGATTGATTACCGAGAAAACTAAATAAATCTGGCTAAAACGATGGGCAGCGACGCGCACAGCGTCTTTCCGTTAGAAAACGCTGCCATAATTTCACCTCGGAGTGAAATGATCATTAAAATTCGAAAAGAGTCAAATCGGCTTGATGAAATAAAAGCATGTTCTAACATTAAATTACTACCTACTATTTCAGGTTCCGCCCCGGGCGTGGCCTGTACCCGGCTCGGCTGCGGCAGCCGGGAGTTCGTGAACGCCATCCTCCTGCCCTACCTCCATCAGACCGGCGTCTCAACCGCAAACTTCGGCGGCGCCGTCGTCATGGATACCATCATGAACTACAACAACAGCCAGGGAGCGCAGTCCATCCCGGGAGGCCAGGTGTTTGGAGCGGTGAGTTCTAACCGTAGCCTAGTCCAAGCTGGTTCCATTTAAAGCAGAAATCAGGGCTATTTACACTACTAACACGAGATTTGAAAGTCAAACGCAGCCTGAAGTTTGCAACTTTTCGAAAGGTGTTTATTTCTTACATTCTTATCTATACACATTTATTTCCTATAAGAATGTCTTTATGTTCCTCGTTTTCTCTTATTTCGTACACAGACGCCTGGATTGACCGACGCGTACGCCAGCATCTCCGGCGGAGGCTTCAGGGGGAACTTCCTCGCCACCATCTCCAGACAGCCGTACGACTCCCCGGTACTCAACACGTTCAACCGTCGGTGGGCCGGGCTCAGCAACCAGCAGTACAACATACAGGTCAGCTCATCTTTTCATTTATTGATTTGGCTGACGTACATACCGCCAAAGTTGTTTAACTGGTGGATAAATATTCATAATGGACAATCTCGGAATTGTACTACTATACTGTCATATTTAACTGTATGTATGAATTCGAAAGTTATGTTAAGAAAAGACCCGATCCGAACCCTCGAACCCTCTCACCGCTACAGTCCCTGGGAATCCCCATCAAGGACCTAGTGCGGGACCTGGACGGGAACCCGTACGCGGACGTTTACCGGCAGCTCATCCGCGGGGATTTCTACAGCTTCTGGGCGGGAGACCCGGACCTCAGGGCCTTGTTTCTAACAGACACAGGTATACGTGTACTACACATTTTGCAATGAATCTTTGGACTGCGGTACCGGTCTTCAAGCGTCCATGTCGGGGTGTAGACAAGGGTTCGATCCACTGAATTTAAGCCAGTACTAGTGTGCTAAATAATGGACCGCCAAAATCTTCCTGGAGCACTCCTGTGTCATTACGGTCGACGTTTTGTCTGTTGCCCTCGCCATGCTGTGAGGTTGTCTTGAAAATGGAGTGTCCATGTCATATACCTTACCGTGTGTGTGTTGTGCTATGTCCCGCGTCAGGTAACCTCCGCGGCGGCATGCAGAGTTGTTACCACCAAGGCTGTGATGACCTCTCCAGGGTCACTCCGGAGCGGCTCAGTTTCCTCCAGAAGACCACGGACGCCGTCACCGCGGCGCTGTGGGAGCTGGCCAATGGAACAACATGCACAGGTAGTCTAGGAATCCATTCCTTCCTCCCCTTTCTATTCTGGAGTACACCCCTTTCTATCTTCTCCTCGAGTCTTTCTTCTGTAGCTTCCTCCAGGAGAGATGGGACGCCGTCATCGCGACGTTGTGGGATCTACCTAACGGCACCAGGTGCACAGGTGTCCTCTCATCCTCTCTCAATCTATTTCCCATTGCCTCCTTGTATATGCTATGCTTAGATCGTTGTCATATCTTGCATTTTACCATACAGGCAAGGAGTGTATACTTATGCCGTAATTTTCAATTCATCAACAGCCCCAACGAGTGCAGTTCCCCAAGACTTCAAGACAGGTCTGCGCATGACCGGAAACCTGGTGCTTCCCTACGCGCCGAACGACTTCCGCTTTTCGGTTACGTCATACAGCACCACTGGAGTCGTCATGGCAACGTTCTCTAACGACACTTTGACGCTCAACCTGGCAGGTAAACAATCATTTCTTTCAATCTGTGTAATTCAGGGAGTTGCTAAGACGTGCAGATTACCGAGCAAAGTTAGAACAAGATTGGAATGACGATTTGGTCTTTTATATTCTCAGATAGTATTTTTCATTAGAAAAGTTCACATGGATATTTAATCTTTGTTATGTGGTCTTACAACCTGAGCATAAAGTTACTAGTATATCTTGTATGATCAGTGTTTGAGCAAAATACTCATGTTTTAGAAATGACATTTGACTGAACCTCCTTGGACTGACAGGTCGCTTCGACGACAAGACCCTCCAGTTGACATTTCGCCTGTCCGAACCGACGAATGCGTTTCCGGGTCAAATCGACCCGCTACAAACAATGGCCTGGGTCATGTCCGGTCAGGTCAGTATGGCGTCATATGTGGGTCAACTTTCACGTCTCTGTACTTAATATTGTTGAAAAATAAACTTTTGAAGTGACTGTGTAGCCTTTTAGAAAAATGTTTTCACTGTTTCCTAATACAAAGGCTCGACTAGTCACACAGAAAAAACTGCTTGACATGTCTATGCTTGCTTTGTACTCGATGTTTTACTCATTTTCTTCTGTATTATAGGTGATGACCGTAAAAGGAAGCCTCTTCTACACTGGAGAGGTGCAGGGCCTTTTCGGACCGCAGGGGGGCGCTGTGTCATTCGGGTTCATCAGTTCGACAGGTAGAGGCCCCATTTCCACATTATTGGTCATCAAGATTATTGAAGGGATTTCTTATGGAAGACCTTGAAGCTGCTTGCAAGGTCATTTAAATAACTGTAAGATTAGGAGGTTATCAAAGAGTGCTCACTGAGTGATCTGTCCTTTCGGGGCGCATCTACGGTCTCTGCAGGAACTCGCCTTTGTGGAGTCTCCGCTACATGTAAATAAGATTAAGTGTGATGACACATGCATGTAAGTTAGCTTTTGGTCTATGGTTGATGCCCTCGTGGATTGGCCACATTACTAACTACCGTATCTTAAAACTGTTGTTGTGCAGGAAATGACACATCTGGTCAAGGCACGTCCGCCCTGTCCATAATTTTCTTCGTATCGTCTGGAGTCTTCTTCGCCCTGGCCATCGCCCTGTATGCTTATACTATTTGTAAGACGTAAGTATGAATTAAAATCTAGCATAAGTAGTATGCCGCAATTGTTTGCAATGATATTTCTGTCTATTCATTTGTCTTCGTTTTTTTTCGAACAACACTACTAGTATTACGAAAACACCACACTTATTGACAAGAGAAGTGGATAAGAGAGGGTTCATTTTCTTGCCTTCATCGCAGGTTCATGGATTCAAGCCACATGTAGCTTGATAAGCTGGCACCCCAAATGGGGCACAATCTTACTTAATCCGTCTACTGAAATAAAACGACTTTCTTTCTTTTTCATCTGGCAGGAAACGACTGGGGGAACCTTTCAGTCAGGAACAACCAATCTGATCTTTTGACTTCAGAAAGAGAAAACATTGAGGAGAGTAGAAACAGGAATACCTGGATAAAGTTTGAAATGATAGTCATATTCAATTTTCCCTAACATGGAATTCTACGAGGATCGCCATTTTTTATATATATATCATTGATTGATATACGTTACTTACTTCTAACCAAGTAAAGTATTTCAGAATCAAATACGTTTGAAAAGACAACGTACGTGTTTACGTTTTGTGTTCTGTTTGTACATCCGCTTCTTTATTCCCGGATTTACTCATTGATACAATGAAAAGATTCTGAACAATATTCCATTGAAGTGTATATCTTGTATAGTTGCAGTTTGATTACAATCACGTTGAACTAATAGTGACTGAATCTATGTTTGTATTGTGACTATATATAGTGTAATTATTGTCCGCCATACTGGATGGTTAGCCTTGGAAGTTTAGATTCTTGTAGAGCTCTTTTGGTGCACAAGATAGCAGCGAAAATAACAACTCAAGAGATCTATTTACATACACGAGGCTGCATGTTTTTTCTATAACATATTGCATTGTAATTTGTAACTTCGTTCCAGCAGCAAAGATACAAGACTTAAGAAAGTTAATTCTGGTCGGTGTTTTCTTCTCTTCAAATATCTCATACGCACTATATATATTAGGTATAGTATAATAAATTTGTACACTCCATCTACTTAATATTTGCAGTCCATTGCCACTATTTTTCTAGCTATGATTGTACATATAAATTATGTATATTTCAAACATCAAACATTTAATGCTAAACACTCAATATAGGGGCTTGTTTACGTAACGTCACTTTCAGATTTACTCCGCATGGGGCCGTTGATACCTCGGCCAGAAGGTTGTGCACCATTTCGATAGACCGACATTAATTTGATTATATTTACTTGCAATTTTCATATGCTAAAATACATCGCCCCTCCGTATATGTTACCTATGCATAGTCACCATGCAACTTTCCTCACATCTCGCCTAACAAACTAGAACTAATATAACAACGAACTCAGACACCAGTGCCGTAGATTGACAGTTTCCTCTGCGTATAATCTTTTTTTAGTTGGAAGATGTGAACGATTTATATCATACCATAGCTAGATTCTGCTGACAATTAAGTTGCTTCCTCTGCATTCTAAGATGGCAATTCTATTTTAAGCCAATAGTATTAACTAAAACGCGTATCATCTCACGCATATCTATCTCTCTCTATATATATATATTTATAAATATGTCGACAAAACACGCACCTTGCCACCCTGGAAAGCCTGACATTCTGACACTAGCTAATTTAACAGCTTTCTGTCTGGCAGCGTAACCCTCTGGTCCTACCCATGTCTTTTCCTCGTCTTGTGGTCATTTAAGTCCTTTTTTCATTGGTGCAGTACAAGTAAGAAGACCAGTCAAGTATACGATCTCCCAAAATGTCCCCAAAACGCATGGAAACAACAAAACAAAACAAAACAAAACGAGTTTGAAGAGTACAACAGTCTATCATAAGCTTGGTACAGCACATACAGCATTTCTAAGACGGCGCTCCCTTCACCTTCGTCATGACCCAGACTTAGGTCCGGTGGATGCTGGAGACTTGGGCAGACTTTCCAGCTCGACTCTATCGTCCATGACGGTGTAGTACGACGTCGGACCCTTGTTCAGAAGCGTGTCCCGTTTGGAGCAGCACCACCGACACCACCAGTAAGGGTGCGAATTCGACTCTGCAAACAAAAAAGAACGCGTAAAATGAGAACCTTGGTTTTGTCAAACGGCCCACTGAGTTCAGGGCGAGTCATAAAACCTCCTTTCCACTAGACAAATTGGATTCTGTGATCCTTGATTCAATAATTGTAATGCATGATTTAAAAGACAACGAAACTGATTGGGTCACTGTTTTGCTAATATTATATGAAATAGATAAAAAGATGCATAGGTTAAACTTACGTTTTTGAGTTCCGCCGGAGACAGAGGCGTAAAACCACAGAGTGCAGAACACGATCATGCCTAGCGCGGCCACCACACAACAGGACACGACGAAACTCGGCGGTCCGTACCATACAAACAGCTGGAGGGGCAGAGGAACGATTAGAAGTTTTAGTATACTAATATATATGATGAAACGCTAGATAGCCAATGGGACGTAGCACTAAGGTGTAATGAGAGCCACACTACTAGTACTTCTTGCACGTTTAAGAACCCACCCCCACTGTTATCGATGACTGAATATGACACTTAACGGCTTACATTATGGCCATTTACCAGTACTCGGTCTAATACGCGATGCAAACAAGCAAACAAACAAACACCCACCCTTCCCACCAGGACAGGCAGAACCATCTCCCCGGTGGCCGCCCCGATGACCAGCGCGCTGGTGATCCCCCCGGTCACGCGGACGTTCCGCTCAGCCATCGCAATGGACGATGGGTAAATGCTGCTCAGGAAGAAGCCAAAGGTCATGGCGCCGGCGTACAACGCCATGGGGCTGTGGGGCATGCCCAGAATCACCAAGATGGCCGCCAGACAGCCAACCTAGATAGTTGAACAGGAAAGAGTCAACAAGCAGAATGCAAAAGTTCTAACAGAATTGGTACTTTTTTCACTCACTCACTCACTCACTCACTCACTCACTCACTCACTCACTCACTCACTCACTCACTCACTCACTCACTCACTCACCTCTGTCATTCAAAAGAAAGCAAAAGCATGATTTGTATTTGCATGAAAGTTCACATGGTATACGATGTGCTAAAGCTTTTCAATCTGTACTAAGTACGAACTCTGTATACCAGATTACACATGAGCATGGCCGGGGGCTGCAGCTTGGTGGCGATCGGGATGGAGACCAGTCTGCCCAGCGCCAGGCTGCCCCAGAACGCCCCGGTCAGGTACGCCGCGTACTTGGCGCTCAGGTCTACCTTACTGATCACGGCGTACGCGTAGATCCAGCCTGCAAAGGCACCCTGTAGAGAAAACAACGGACTCAGACGGACTGCTCAAAATGGTTACACCGCAAAGACACCACTATGTTCCGACAACTGTAACGATATATCGGAACCGTATGGGTGTCGGAAAATATGAAATATGGGTGTGGTGTCCTCTATCGGAATATGGGACACATGGAAGACTATCTCAAAAATGCTTTCAGTTTGCAATTGTCCGATGACTGTACGACGTAGGTGGCCGGGACATTAGGTTATTATGTAGAAGAAGGTACCAACCTGTATCCCGTCAAACAGGAACAGCAGCGTAGCCGTTAACATGGTGACGATAACCGTCCGAAACTTTCCTGAAGGGATATCCTTTTTCTCATCACCTGGGAGAAGAAACAAAATACTTCTGTTGTGTCGGTAAAATATACATTTTTACGTTTTACTCTAAGATTCCCAGTTCTAGGCAATATCGCATCAGCTTAACCCGGACGATGGACGAGATCGACTTCAAAGCACCTTTGACCCTCTCCTGACGTCACGTTTCCGAAGGCTGATGCATTTTAGAACTGAGTAGATGACACACCAGCCAAGTAACCTCTAAACGACACCTTACTAGCCTGTCTTCTGATTGCCGCAGTCTAATGCATTATGTCTTTTGCATGCTGGCACCTTAACGAGCAAATTTTTCTGTGTACTGTATTCCATCCACTAGAACACCTTGCGAACCAGAGATTGTCGCGGACTGCTCTATTTTCACACCCGAACCACCTTAAATCTCTGTGCGCGGGTTCTCAGAACCAGTTTACCTATCAACGTTCCTGATTCATCCGCCCCTTCCTGTTCACGTTCAAGCTCATGTTCACCAGACACTAAAAGTCAAACATTTTATCAACATTTGAAATATGGGATGGCGTTTAAAACTGAAAAGTAGGATCGCTCTCTTAGTACACTACAAATAGTACATCAGTATGAGGCATCTAGTACCAGTAAATTAGTGTCTTCTTGTGACTTACCGATGTCTTCGTACCCTCTCTTGGACTTCATGATGTCTTCCTTGACGCCGTCGCGGAGGAGCAGCTTGCCGCGGTGCTTCCCGTCGTTCCGCTGGTAGATCAGCAGCGACATGATCGCAAAGGCGATCGGAATCTGGGGAGGAAACAACGAGAGGAAGCTAAATCATCATCGTCATCATCCACTGGGTTCTGAAGCTGCAATCTTAGGAACGTCCTGTAGCTGCGGTCAGTCTTTCTTCATTGTGCCTCGCAAAAGACAATCGACGATTACATGAGAGAATTGTCGATTCATCACTGTATGACAGTGGCCTTGGTAAATTTTGGCATGAATTTTTCGGGCACGTGACTCAAAGGAACAGATGTACCAGGAACCCGAAAAGCAGGCTTTACGGTGTTGTATTCAAAGTTTAGCCTGTCAACAATGTCTGTTATGTGAACTGTACATGGCCTGTGGTAAACTGTACAGCTTGCTCACGTTTAAGCCGGCCATGATCCAGAAGGCGTATCGCACTTCAGTCTTGTGTATGGCGTCCGCTAACGACTCCGCCTTGGTGATGTTGTTCATCCCCGTGGGGTCCACGCCTTCGGCCGGCATGAGTTCGCGGATGAAGGAGTCGTTGGAGTAGGTGACGTTGAGGAAAGTGTCGCAGTCTTGGTCCAGGATGAAGGGTTCGGCTACCATCGGGCTGATGAACGCGCCCAACCCGTAACAAAAATGCAAGGCCTGCGGTAAAACAAACAACACCATGGACGTTTTCATATGAGATCGTTAAGGTTCGATGCTTTCAGACAGGACCTGAATATATTCCTTGCATTATGGTGAAGCTGCGACAAGTATGCGGTACCAAACATACCCCCATATTCATTAGAACACAATCGCCACCGACATTAAGGCCAACTGCTATTTTAGAAGTTCGTTGTTTCGTATGGCAAGATCTATTGACAAAATCGACAAAATCTTGCTTGTGTGTACGTCTGGAAATACAACTGCCTGAGATTGTACCAGACGGCGATCACCTTCGAGTGACAATCAAACGACATGGACGTACCTGAAGGAAAGGTGACACCTGTAAAGAAACAACAAAAGATGATATGAACACATGGTTGCTTCAGAAAAAAATGACAGGACAAGATAGCTATCTGTGACAATATATAAGGCCATCAATGGCTGATAACTGGGCGTTGTAACTGGATTAGGCTAGTTGTCATTCTGCCATTATTTTACCTTGTACAAATTGTCCCTGTTTTAACTTACTGGATATCTAGGAAATTCAATAGACCTTATCTTCCACATTTGTGCTTCCAGGAACTGGTTCTAAATCCCATATTTGTGCATTAAGGAACTGACTTTACCGTTGTGTGCCCGTAAAAAGACCCTTTTTACTTACATCGTGTGAGTATATTCTAATGAGCTGCACGTTTGCCACGGTGTCGATGCACCCCATGGCCACGCCCATGATGGCCAGCACCATCGTCAGGATCCACAGGCTTCTGCACAGGGGGATGACGGACAGGGTCACGCCCACCGTTACCACGGCAACCAGCAGCGTAGGGTTGCCTGAGAACCTGTCAATCAAGGAGGAAGTGTAAAGAAAATGTTGACCATGATTGGGTGAGAGTCTATCAATCATCAATGAACCCTTTATGAAAAGTATGAAAACGGAACATCAATGAAAACCTTAGGCTGGTAGGCTCGAGAAATATTCATCAAAATAAAAAAAATTAAAACCAGAAGACAATGATGTATGGAAGTGTCAGCGAAGTTGTCAATCAACACTAAACGTGAGAAATTGTTGTTGAAACTGAGACATGACGCCCTATCAATCAAACTAAGTGGCAAAGTGCTGTCCATCAAACTTTCAAGGTTCTTCAATCAGACCAATATGCCATTGTCTAGAATTAGAATAGAAATTCTGTCGATTAAAGGTCATAAAGTTTTCAGTCCATTCATCAATAATCAACGTCACTTAAAATTATATATGGTCTCCTTTTTACTCTCACTTTTGAGAAACAATAAACGCTGTTACAGAAGGGCCAATAGTCCGTGATTAACGATAAGGGTCTTATCCATAATGCCGTGTGGGATGTTGACAAGATTGCCAGTTATCAATCCCCACATGCACGATTTGTCGTGACTTGTTATCTCGGCATAGGCTGTAAACAAACTTTTTGCGGTACGCACGGTATAATGCCAGAAGTCAACATTTCTTTAAATTTTAAAAACCTGTCTCGTGCGAGAAAGTATGATACGCAGGTATATGAAGGCATGAACGTGTGCCTTTTGTTCAGCTTCAATATTGACAAGTTAACTTGCGATCTTTACCACTACTTCGTGAAGTTTTTTCCTCAGTTCCTGAAATCATTTGCTGACTAAAGACACGTGTCAGCATCTTTCCCTGACCCTGTAGCAGGAAAAGAGCGCTCTAATCAAAACATATGCCACCTACAGAACCCACTATTCCAACATACTAACCCAATGAAGGTTATTAATATGATTATTTCCCAGAACATTAGACCCATATCTTCCCCCGTCTCACCCGAGCCTTTCTATCTCTGTCCATCTCACAGGTCACACATGTTGTACTTCCGCATATTGAGTAAGAGTGATGACGATGTCACTGTGGGGCCGATAATTGTACCCTGTGGTACACAGTCCAGGTTAACAGTCTATTCCCAAGCGAGCTGCTTTTCAGCCAGCCAGAGTTCTATAATTATTTGTATGAGGGTTCATATTAGATAGAGATCTACATGACTACAAAAGATAATAGTCAGCATCGGTGCTCTTGTGTTGAGTAGTGTACAAAACGAAGGCAAATATTTATTGTTGAAATTGTTGAAAGTTAAACAATTCTGATGCGATTTTTACTTTATTTTGTGTTGCGATGTTAGATGTTATGATTAAGGAATTCGAATGTCTGTGGCATTTCTTTCATCGAAAAATGCTACAGAATTTTAAACACAGACTGCTCAGATTTGATACAACCCCTCCATTCGGTCCTATTTCAGCCCTCCTTTGGGGCCTTGTTTGAACTATTAGTACTTGCCCAAATTACGGTGATTGTCCCAATCGGTGATTGTGCCAGTTAATTCTGCCACACGCCCCTGGAAAATGTCACTGACTGACTTGTCTAAAACTTTCATCGAACGTACATACATACTGGATACTACATACATACAGAATACTTGAAAAATATGAAAATCGCTAAATGATACATATGTCCACATCGCCATAGTTAGTAATGCAATGACCCACATGCAGGATGCTATAAACGGGTATAATTACGAGGGCGTAACCGGGCAATGGCCAATTACTTTTCGGAGGTCAGCTTTTAAATAGCGGAGTTTACTTTGACGTCATTTCAAAACGTCGCTTCCAAATGGTCGACATTTTTGCTTCGGTATACTAGTATTTATATTTATGTAGGTCATGGTGAAAGAGAACTTGACACCAACTCACCTCTTCCCAAGACTAAGAGTAAGCAGCAGGGAGAGACAGAAACATAGCAGTTTGTTTGTAAGCAACTTGAAAAAGATATCATCGTGTAAACATTCAAACAACATGCATATCAGTCAACAAAAAAGTCCTCCTTAGCCATAGTCCTGTAAGTATGACTTGTACTACTACATGTACTACAGTTATGAACACATTTCCAGGTGATAGGGCTAAGAAAGGTAAAAAGTGGTCTGACTGAGCATGTCAACACCTGTCCGTACATATGCCTAACTTTTCTGTCGCTTATATCGGTGGTGAGAGAATGAAACACGCCATCACTCAAGATTGTAACCAGTCGCAGGTTAGAAATATTCCTACCTTTCCACCAGGAGTCCTCCGAATGTAGACCCCACCAGGAGGCTGAGAGACTGTGCGAAGAACGCCCATGTCATGTCACCCAGACTGCTGCGGGTTAAACAGCCCAGGTCCAGGAGAGTTGGTCCCAGGAAGGCCACGCACATGCCGAAACTCAGGAAAACACTGCAGTACGTGAACGTGCTCTGCCAGTTGTCCTTTAGCCGTACCGTTTTAGGTCCGGGCGATTTTGCGTCCTCCTCCTTGCCCTCGGCTTTTTTCTTGCCGTTTTTCTCCGGCGGGACGCCATTCTGTCGGGCGGGCGGATGCGACGCCTGGCCCGCCGATACGGGAACGTTCTCCCCCTCGTTTCCCGGGCGTACCGACCCGTTCTCCATGGCTACAGATCGTCGTCAAGCTTCCTACGGAAAAGAGAGCAAACACACTAAACATTCCATCGTACTACTGACTAACTGCGGCACACTCTAAGTACGCGCTCTGGCGTACATAACAGATGCCAACTTTCCCAGAGCCAATCGATATTTGATCCTGCAGGCCGCTGGGGGTGGAGGCCAAGTTGTGAGGGTCCTTCATTCCGACCCGAGCTCACCAAGCAAACATTCGTAACATGTTACACAGGGATAGCGCCGGGGACATGCCCGTCAGACCTTGTTGTGGTTCAGATACATGTAGCTCTATAACATGGCTGAAAATTGTTGAGAATAATACCGTTCTTTACCATGCAAATATCCGTAATGAGATGTAAATGTAGCTATGTCGATCATGTAGTCACTGCCATGCTAGTTAGCACCAATGTGAAAGCATTTACAAGAGTAAGAATTACTTTAAATTCTTTATCAATATGGTAGATTTTGTAGTTATAGATCAAAACACAGTTAGCCTTTGTTTCTGTTTATATCAATTCTCTGCAGTCTCTTCTGGATATATAAAATTACTTCAAGAAGTGCTGATCTTGCCACAAGCGGTACAGACATCGGTAATTTTGAAACTGGGACAAGAGACCAGCCATTAATCAGTCCCGGGTGACCAGACTAAACCGCGAAACACAATTTTTCCCTCTGACCCCGACCCAGGATAATGTGATTTGTCGGTCGGGGGGACAGTCTTAAATCAATTGTCTGGTCTGCGTCACTCTCCCATTTACAGGTCTACTACCAAAATCAAATGTGAAATTAAAGGAGGGATTAAACAAAATCTAACCACCTCGTCTTCAGGCCAACCAACGCAGATATCTTATGACCAAAACGTTTGTTATCATCACATGATGATAACGTCATCACCGTTTTGAAATGTCAGTGCAGTGACTTTTTGTGAAATGACCTTTCCTGACTCCCGTCATCAGTGAGCCGTGTGGCAGGTTTGATGCGCCTTAGGGCACAAAGAACAATACTCAATAGAAAAAGAAAAACTAAAAAGAAACCGTACTTTCAGGATAAAGGAATAGTTAATTCCCACTACAAAAGTAACAAATGATTTATATCCACCTACCAGGGATTCGAACTCAGATTCGAACCTTCAAGTCAACAACCTTAACCACAAGACCACCTTGCCACCTTTCTTGAGTAAAGTAATCGGAAATGATTTAGAGCTCACACAGCAGCTATCCAGGTTTCATGGCTACAACCCTTGACGCAGCTCCCCCCCCCCCCCAATATAAGCTTGTGTAAATCAACATACTGTAAACACTTGAACTGCTTCTTTGACGGAACAAACGGGTTCCATAATTTAAGTTTTCCGTTATAAACATCTATGACAGGTCGGATTCTAAGCGTACTAAGCTTTGTAAATGAGCTTAACAGTCCGATGTATGGTTTATGCTGGTCTTTCAAGACTTAAAAGCTACAAATAATGGAAACTGAAGGCCTTGTTGATACAAAAAGTCAGGAATTTCATTTTATGTTTCTAATGATTGCAGAAGGTTTGTCATCTGTAATACAATTCAATTGCAAGCAGCATACCAACATGTAAGTTGGTGTGACAATCGTTTGTGCATTTCGTAGACGGATCTATCACAGAAAACAAACATGAGAAATTGGTTGTACAGCCGGAATTGGACAATACCCAAAAATGACGTGTACAAAAAGACATGGTAGAGAACCTTTTGAGAACCTTTTTCTCCCTGTCTACGCTTGGGCGATGCCTCCTTGTCCCAGTGCGTATACACCTGACACTATCACTGTACCGGCACCAGTCTGTCACCATGACGAGATAAATCTGATCGCCAGGCCGCCTACCGTCACAGTTTGCCGCCCGTGTCTACTGGTAAACATCACCCGTCACCTGACTCTGCAGATCTAAAAATATCAGCTAAAACCGTAGAACACAAGCATTCGAGACTTCTCTCTTTATTCTCTTTATTCCGATACCCTTTAGTCAAAAGGCTAACCTTATAGGATTCATTAAAAAAACATACATACAACAAATAACATAGTAAAAACAAACAAACACACACACACACACACACACACATATATATATATATAACAAAAAGATATTTACACTATATACAAATGAAGGAACATAATCTACAAACTTATCAAACTTATCGATCGGCGTACGTCGTAAAAATTTACTCTCTTAAGATGTATAAATTAGTCTAATTAGTTACTCTGTGGGACAGGCCCGGTAGGATAGGTACGCAAAAATTATTAAGATCCATTCATATCTGTTAACAATATTGATGAAGAACAAACCTACGAGCTTGAAACCATAACCATCTCCACGGGGCCGTACATAACTGGACAGGTAAGTTTGTCACAGTCCAGAGGACACACCTGAGGGCGCCACGTCCAATATAATTATCTGGACAAAAGGTCCGTTCTCAGCAAAATGAGTAGGTTCAACCGCGTCACGTAGCCACTCTTTTCACTCGGCACATTAACGTGACACAGGCCGCTTCAAACAAAATATTTTGCAGCGTGGCAGGTGACAAAACGTGACGTGGCGCTCTGGATTTACGTTTCCGTGTTGACTTCCACTTATATATAGTAGAAAACAACAATTCGTGCAGTCGCTTAAGCAGCTCTTGGGCAACCCAGAATAAGGACTATTAATTTGCGCTTTGTTGATGAACAAGATATCAAAACTTGTCAGTTTTTAATTTGTTTAGCAACAATAAACAAGTCTATTTATCGTTGTCATCATGAATCGTTTATAAATACTTTCATCCTTGTTGCTTGTTATTCATGTATTGATCTTATAACAGAATCCGGCATGTTAAAGTATTGGTTTCTTATCTTGGTCTCGGCCTTGTACATATTCTTTTCTAACTGCTCTGTGTGACCTGTGCATTCACTCGTCTGACCCTTGAGTGCTGTATGTGATTGAATTGTACAGCGACAAAAAGAACTTTCTCACAAAGTTACAATGTTGGGTACTTGTACCTTGTTACCCCTCGCCCTGATAGCTATCCCTGTGTATCTAAGTAACGGCAACACTAGCGACGTCTCCTCTAAGCACGAAGTTCTAGAAGGTTTTGCCAACCAAAATAGCGACAAGGTATTCAAGATACCATCCTTGACTTCACTCATAATAATGCCACCAGCGTAACACTAAGGTGTAGAGCACGGTCTGTGAATAGCTTTAGCAGGTCGGTAGGAATTCTTGTGACATAACCATGGACTAGAGGAAATTTCGGTAACTCCCCAGCTACACCACGAATTGATAAGTACTGTATTGGAGTCCATTCATAGGTCTTGAGGAAGGTAACTGTGGAGTTACTAAAATGTTGGACAGGTACACTTCCTCTACGTGACTCAATAACATTAAACTTTCCTACTGTAGGCCGAGGTATTGTACAATTTTTCATCCTTCAATACATAATGCCGAGTTCCAGACACTGAGTCATACCTACGTAGTATTTTTTGTTCCTTAATCATTGATCCTTCCAGGAAATGTTATAATCTGTTATCACATTGACTGTTAAATCTGCGGTCCCTCCCCCAGCTGACGTCAGAGTGAACAAGATAGACCAGCAAGTCTTCGTCCCTGACCTAGCGAACCCCCTGGGTACGTTTTTTAACCGTACAGGAGTAGTCTACACAGGGCGCGCCTGGTCTGCTTACAGTACATGCAGCTTTTTCTTTGCGTTTCATTTTACTAGATTGCTTTACTTAAACATGCATTGCATACTTTTTATACGATGTACGAAGATACTCACTGCTGAAGGCGGTGAAAGTTTGACAAGTTTTTCCAGTTGCAGTGCCTGGGTGTCGGTATTTCGTATCGGAGTCGGCAGGAAATGGCTCTAACAGCCTTCAAGTCCCGGCATAGGCGAACGCCATGACTTCGCGTTGTTCTCTGAAGTCCACAACACTGCTCCAAAAATGGGTAAAGCTGTCAGAGTGAAGTAATCCTAGAGCGTGTCGTCTTCTGTTGACGCCACCACCGCCATCTTGTACTGTACTCCCAAGTCCCCCCGGGCAGATTCTGCGCACACACTTACTTGTCGACGTAAGTCGCAGTTGGGCGGGTACCTTAAGGCACTACGCAACAACAAGCGCGTACCGAGAGACTTGTTCAACGGGGTTGGTAGGCTGTATGCACCAAGCTTTGTGTTTGCACTGACCCGTGCTTCGGGCGCGGGGAGCTATGCAAATGGAGCAGGAACCGTGTCAGTAAATTGTCGCTGTGGTGTGTTTACATGTGCGCAGAACCGGCGTACGTACAAAAAAAAAAGGCGGGAGGCATGACACAAGTCAAAAAGAACAAGCTATTCATTTATAACCCGCTGTTGTCACTTGATATGCATGATGCACAGTAGCAGCATTTGTGACAGGAAGACACGATCATATTTCAAAATACTTCGGCTAAATCCAGTGGCTGTTTATTTGGGCCCAGAAACGTGACGACAAGAATCAACACAAGGCTCAGTGCGGCACGCTGAGAATAACTTAAGACGAAAGGGACTCACAATCTGAGCAGAAATACACTAACACTGACTACCTTCTTATGAACACTGTAATTTGTACATCAGGTTGGTAATTCACTGAATAGAGGGACTGTTACACAGCAAACATGTTTTATTCTGCAGGCGTTTCGGTGACCGTCCGTCTGTTACCGTCCTCAGGGCAATTGTCTGTAAGAATTGCCCTGAGGAAGGTGACAGAAGGTCACCGAAACATCGACTGAATAAGAGGCTTGGTTGTGAAAAAACAGTCTCTTTATTCATCAACTATAACCTCTAAGCTTTGTACTACGTATGTCGAGGGCCTTAAATCTTTCACCAGCAGAGCTACTAGCCCCCTTGTTTATGTCTGCATGCTCAGCTGCATGTATTATTTCCCGCTCAGCCTCGCGCATGTTTGCCTTCACGGTTTGATGCCGGAGACATAGCTAATATTCTTGTTTGCACTTAAAACCTCATTTTCAGATCGTACCCATGTGCCAATGCTAATACCTTGTACATCAATAAGGCCATGTCGATTTGATTATGTGGATGACATCCACGCGCGCATGAATTTTCGGCCGTTTCCAAAAAAAAAAAGTTTTCAACCATACTGTAAATCGTACAAAACAGTTGCAAAATGAGCAAAAATATACCGTAAGTTACAACAAAATAAGTAAAAACTATACCAATGTCGTAGAATGCCAAAATCAAACGAAAAAAGACGAAATTATAAGGAAATGAACTTGAAGATTAGATTATTCGCCAAACCATATTCTGTCCCATTTGTTCAACCCTCATGACCACGTAGATTTCATAATGAAAGCAACTTTTTTTTTTGCAAAACTTTTTTTTTATTCGCACGCGCGCATCAGTTTTGGGGCTCCCGGAGGATGTCATCCATATAATCAAATCAACATGGCCTAAGGCAGAATGATGATCAAGCGGGTTCTGAAAGCTGTCCTCATTTGCGTCGAGTTACAGAAAAGATTTGTCTACATTTATAGACGGCTCAATGCCAACGAGGCTAGAAAAAGCTTCGAGGTCATACTAAAGCTACAGAAGGAATAGTTTCATGTGTTAGTTATCTATGAATCGAAATAAACTTTTAAAAACTGTGTAATTACAACTGAGCAAAATTACAAAGTTTTGTCAACAAACAACTTTTGGCGGGCAGAAAAAAAAGGTAAAAACGTTTCTCACGGCTTTCCCTTTAATCCCTTTTCATTATTTCGTTCCCTCCTTGCTGTCGGTATGTAAATGATAACCAGTATTAGATTCCTTGTCCTACAAATGTCTGATTTATTTGTCAAACACGATGACATTGTCCATTTCGTCTTGGAATTAGATCTAGAAGGCGCTCAGAATGAACTCAAGGCTATTATTGCACATTTTCTTTATCTGTACCGATTTCACCCCACTTTCACCAAATTTCTGCTTGAACTTCTGTTCGATTGTCAGTAAAATCTAAAAGAAGCTGATATTAAAAAATGTCTTAAATCTCCTAAAAATCTCTGTGCTTTTATCAGATTATTTGCGCCCTCTTGCGGATGGCCTCGGCAATAGCATGATGTCCTCCCTGCACGCCCGCCCGCTGTTCCGCCTCCCGGTTATAGGCGGAGAAGGTGTTGATGTCGATCACCTGCGGCGCTCCTGCGCGGTCGAAGATGAACTCGAACCCGCTGTTGTGGATCCCGGTTCCTTCCAGAAAATTCTGGAACGTCTGTAAGATCGGGTGTTGGAAGTCTGTGATGATGTTGTAGTCGGAGGGCTGGAGCTCACACGGACAGAGGTTGAACCCATGCGAGTCGGACACCTGCAAGACGGTACGTATACGGGCAGGGTCTTGAGGAATATGGTCATAAGAGACGGGTGACTACTGCAGACAGGGGTTTTGATGTTTGGGCCCTTGGAAAAATAATTCAAGGGACTACCAAAGCGGCCACAATGGGTGAAGATGGCCACTAGTAGTAGCAAAGGTTTCACTATATCGTGCGATAACTACATTATTAAAATTAAGAATACTGAAAATACCTAGCAGACACAGACCTTACACAGGTTGATTTGCGTTGTTATCTGTGTGTTCTAATATGGCCAAATCCGGACGTTTAGCCCCTAACTTGGTTAGGTACATGTACATTTTAGTGAACTAATCACCTGGACGTGGAAGACGTAGAGAAGCCGCCCGTCCACGAACTCTGCGCGGTAGATGCCGGTTGTGTGCGGGAGGAACTCCTGCACGATGTACAGGCCGCTCGGAGAGGTACCTAGGAAACCTGCCGGACCCGAGTCTCCGGCTTGGCGGTACGCCTGAGAGAACAGCGCCGCGGACTCAAATCTGGCAAAAGGGATTAAAGACGCAAGAAGTTATGAACGTTAACCGACTTTGAGGTACCTAATTCTTAAAACGGCAAAATAGACGAAGCGCTTCAAGCCAATACCATCTTCCCTAGACCCAATGCAAAGTGTTAAGCTATATCATCAAATACAGGCAAGGGGCCCTATTGTAATAAATTAATAAAAATCTCTGGAAGAAATCACTTCTGGAAGTATCTACAGCATATGGAAGAGGGAAACAGACTTGTTGACGTCCTTGCCACTGCCACCTCGGTCGGGCTTGACGACGAAGGCCGAGTCCTCGCCGAACGCCGCTCGGATTTGTTCGGGTGTCGGATTCACCGAGCAGATCGTCTTCGGGACGGGAACTCCATATTTCTTAGCCTTGGTGTTGAACAAACATTTGATCTTAGAGGCCGATTTTAACTCCTTACATATTATGGCTAAGAAAACGATAGATAAGGATCAATATTGGAAGTAAGGAAAAAATTATGGTCAGGATGCAAAAATAAATTCATGCTTCAAACCATGACATGGGATTAGCAAATCGTAATGGAATAAAAAAAAGGTAGTCCATTGACCTTCAAAAAACACACTTAACACTGATGTATTTGCATCGTGATCACACACAACCGTTCCAAACGTTAGAAATAAAGTTTAAAGCTTACAAGAACACACTGTAAAGCTTTGCTGCATCCAACTTGTACAGAAATCTTGGGGTTAACGACCGGACGGTCATGTGCCTCTGCCCAGGCCAGGATAACCTCTGCCTGGTCGGGAGAGTGAGCATGCCCGTGCACATGCGCGCCTGAGCTGGTGCGGTTGCAGAAGACGGTGTGTGGCGGCGGTGTGCTCAGGTCCACTGACACCTCGTCTGCCACCCATTCCTCCACCGTCAGGTCCGGGTGCGCTTCCAGGGCCTCCCGCATGGGGGCATACCACTTCTCGTTGTCGTGGAGGACGATGACCTTTTTCGACATTCTAAGGAGTAAATATATCATGTTACAGCGTTAAACCTCATTTGTAATGGAAGATACCACTAGGAAAGCTTAAACGTTCAGTCTTACGCAGGAAGTATTTTTGGGGATGAGAGGTACATTGATCCGTTACTCCAGTCACGTGTTTGATGAAGCAATGGGTCATTCATATTGGGAAGGTCTAAGATTTGATAAGTCAAGATTTTCTCGTGCTTGACTACTTTTATAATCCAATTCACATAATACTCTAGTCATCTCATCATCTAAGCAATTACATGATTTCTCAGTAAGAGATCACAGTCGTCAAGCCCAATATCTAAGGGAGTCAAGAAAGACAAACAACTCAGATGCTTTACAGTTGTAAAACTCTGTAAATATCTTTGCATGTAATATAACGTTTTCGTGTAATACAGTTTCTTCCTTAACTTTTAAAACAATTAATTCTACTTCCACCCTGAAACAGCCTACTTTCGATAGGGTACTGATCATATACACATGGGAATGCTAATGTATTTATACCATTAAATTACATGTAAACATTTTTCTGTATATGGAAGACAAACATGTGATGCTTAATATGTAATTGACCAGATACTTTCCTTTTGAAAGTAAGCCAACTTTTAATACTTACAAAAGTTAAGACTACATGAACCTTACAAACAACTGCATTGCTGGTTTAAAAGTCCATTCCATATTCTACCAAGCAGAGAATACTTGACATTACATACATGTATTCTATGTGGTATTCACATATCTGGTACAATGTGTTGTATTACAAAATCCCTGCTAACTCTCATAGTTCAGTTCATTCTTGCCATCTTTCTGTGGTTTGGAGGTTGGATCTTTAATCAGTTACTTTTGTATAAAAGTATAACATTGTTATTTGTACACAAGTTCATTGGTCTCTTTAGTCATCTTTCTCTTCTTTCTTCTTCTTTTTCTTCTTCTTCTTTTTGGACACTGTGGTTTCTTCAGAATCTTCAACTTCCTGAGCAATCTGTAATAAAACAATTAACAAGCAATAAAATATACAGAACGAAATTAACCATCTTGTGGCCTCTTGAATTCCCCATTATTAACCACTAGCACCAGGATTCTGAAAACAAACAAAAAGACAATCTAACAACTTTCAAGTACAAGTACGAGAGATTGTTATCATGTCTCTGAGGTTTAGACTGAGCAAATATAAATCATGTCTTTCTTACCATAATCTGCTCATCATCCCCGCTGCTTTCCCTGTGTTTGTCTTTCTTCTTTTTCTTCTTCTTCTTTGAATCTACAAGGAAACGAAACAAGTTTAACAACAAAATATAATAGTAGAACGAGTACAGACATACATGTACATGTATAGGCACACAGATAGACATAGAGTGATAGATACACAAACACATACATGTACATATGGTAGCATGACTAAAGAATCAGGAGCACTGACCAGGAGTTTCAGAGATGTCTTCTATTGCAGCTTCTGTTGCCTCTTCTTCACTTTTTTCTTTCTTCTTTTTCTTCTTCTTGTGCACTCTGTCTTCCAGCTCTAAGCATGGATAAAATGATGTAACATGTAAACATTCTAACTAGAAATGTTGTTAAGCTAATTAGCATTGTATCATACTTGCAGTTGATTGTTAGAAAGTTTCTGAGATTTTAAGAACTCACCTGTTGAGGTATTTGAGTCTGCAACAAGTCTGTCAGTCTCTACATCTTCTGTCTTCCTCTTTTTGGAAGAATCAACTTCTTCTATATCTGCTTCAGAAAACATGGAGAGAAGGAATTATGTATGATTGGCAGTCTCTGGTACCTTAAACTATGAGTTCAGGTTTGGTCTTTTCTACAGAGTTCAATATCTATTATAAAGTACAGTAATAGTTACAACCTTTTTAATGATTTGAATCAATACTTGTAAAAAGAAAATACTATTGAATCAATGCAAACTGTTCCAATACCCTCAATGTCATGTTTTCTTTTCTTTTTCTTCTTCTTCTCAGAATGAACAGAATCTCTTCTCTGTGCAAAGGTGTGTCTATTGACTGGCTTGGGTTCTCCTGGAAGAGACACACAAAAAGAGTTATTTTTTTTCTTCATTACACTTCAAACAATACTAAAATAGATAAAATACACTATAACATGTATACTGTATTACTGTTTAACAGAGTCAGTCCCGAAAGCTGAACTATTGTTGTGTGCAGATGTTAAAACTAAAAAAAATTTCCAATGCCGACTTACTCCAACCGAATGGTTTGAACCTCGGTCTGAGACCCTCGGGCAGCTGGGTGTTGAGTGGTGCAGCAGGGGGAGGGATGGTGACGGATGGAACAGCCACTGACTGCATGATGTTGATCTCCCCATGCATGAGTGGCACTGTTGGAACAACAACACAGAATTCAGCAAGTTAGAAGTCCTTCCAAAATCATGCCGTGTATGGTGCAGCACCCTCTATCTGCCACAAACACACATAAAAAATCCTCAAACTAAATGTCTTACTTATTCAGTCACAAACAAGCAAACAAGGACAACTTTTTACACACCTGTGGCAAGTCTTCCATCCTGTTCATTGGGCAATAAAAGACTCAGACCTTCTTGCTGTTGATAAAAAAATATACAAAATTTTCTTATTAATGCTTTAAAGATATAGAAGATTACCTCCATATAGACTATAAGTACCTTCATTCACCATATCCATCTATGCAAGCTTGGATCACTTCAAAAACTTGTGAAATAGATATCAGACAAGAGGTTGATGTCATGTAATAAATAAGTAGGCCTCACCTGTAAGTGCTGGGTGTTTTTTGTCACCTGCAAATCATATTTGGAACCAGTCTGGAAAAGAAATTGGCAAAAACCAGTTAGAAAACCATATTAATAACTAAACCCTTTTCAAAATGAGAAACTATAAAACAAAACAATGAAGATGATTTAGATAGTGTACTGAACAGCTATTTGTATCTACCTCAGTTTCCACAGTTGTGCTTTTGTGGAGTTTCACCTTCTGTCCTGACAAACATCTTGGGTCAAACTGCAAGTAAAAGAGAACACTGGCAATTATTGATGTACTCACTGCTTCCTAATGCCATAACCAATAGAGAATTGGTAGGTAAACAACTACTTCAGTGTGCTAAAGGTTTAAACTGTAGTCTCCTGAATAGAAGAAAGCATTGGACTTAATATATACTATGTTTGACACTGGGTCATGAATTTTCCAGGTGAAATTAGCTTCCTTACATCTTTAGGTGCCCTGATGACCCACAGTTCCTGGTCTGATGAGTGCAGACAGTCAGACGTGAGCAGGTCCTGTCCACTCTGTTTCTCTACACTTGTGGTCACTCGGCTGAAGTTCACTGGACACTCAAACCTGAAGAAAGGAAAAGGAGACCAACACTCACACTAAGAAAATAATAAGGTACATGCACTTAGCAATGTTATAATGAAACTTTTTTATACCTCCAAATGTGTAATAAAATAAATCAATAAGCAGACTGATACTCACCTTAAAGGGGCTTGTCTTGAACTTTCCGGTGAGTTATCAGGACCATCACTGTCTGATGCTTCACTTTCAGATATCATTTCTTGTCTGTTAAACTATCGGTGATCACCAAAAAAAGAACTGATGACTGAAAGAAAAGGGAAAAGGAAGATCAAGTGATGATCAAGGATTACATTATTTAGAGCTTAACAGTCATGCAGAAAAAAAATTCAACTTAACAATGAACCGGAAGAAAACAGTCTGCTTTAAATATACACCTAGATGGCAAATTAAAATGAAATCAGAGCAATAAAAAAAGTTATGAAAAAAAGACACCTTACCTGATACACACACGAAAACAGCTACTTTTCCAAAGTAGGCCGCCTTCAAGTCAAGATGACACAAAGAACTTGTCAACCGAATGATCAAGAATGGCCGCGAGGTTACAAAATTAGACATTGCTGGTCAGCATTTGACTATTATTAAAATAAATGCGTGCTAGAAAATTATTGGAATCCACATCAGGTATTACTGCCAGTACATGCAGAAAATAAGTGTAAGGGCTTGAAATACCTGTGACCTCAACATACGATATTTTGTAAACATTTATTCATTCATTCGTTCATTTCATCATAAGATTATCTGATAAGGGCCCTTCAAGTATATAAGACCAAATGAGGACTTTTCTTTCTTGTTGCGTTAACCGTGGTTGCTTTATGCCCTTGTTTGTCTGATGCTTTTTTTTTTTTAGGGTAGTGTTATTTAGTACCTGTAAGTGTGTAAAAGTCAGTGCCATTCAGCTGAAAAAGCTGCGAGGCTGATTTTCTCAATAAATTGAAATTGAATAATACTAGTAACAGACTGAAAGACATATTTAATGTTATCCATATTCAGGAAATTTCTGATGCAGCCCAAACCTTTTTGTTGCAGCTACTAGTAATTTCAATTCTTGCTTATATCGGCGAAAGACATCAAGATATTTACCCCCGCACGAAAGTGGGGATTGCAGTATTATATCATAGTGATAGTAACACTTTTACACATTACAGGGCTTATGTTTACATTGTAGCTACAACAAAAAAGTTTTGCCTTCTGACACTAGAAACGTGGTGCCCCCCTCCCCATCGCACACTTTGAAGCATGTTCAGACTTTGTTCCAGCGGAAACTCAACACGTCGATAGATTAGAATCATGAACTGTACTTACGTTCGCTTTATCCTTTCAAAACAATGCTGATTAATCAGGTGATTTAAGGGTAATTTAAAGAATAACCAAAGGTCTTCAAACTCGCACGTGCGTTTACATTCCGCAGCAGATAGTTTCACTTCTGGGTTATACCGCATCAAACGACAACAAACTCAATCACTTAATCGTATTAATTAACGACTAATAAACGTTAATACAGTTACTTACACCCTGCACCAACAGTAGTAATCTTCTAATCATTTGTTTTCGAGAGTATCGTCAGAATATTGTTCTGTATACTAGTAAAATAACGTTTTTGTTACATTTAGATGCTGCTAATATTTGGAAAGTTCAAGGGTCACACGCTTGGAGGCGCGTGTTGCAGATTCACAGAAAACGTCGTGAGTTCTGTGGGTTATGTAAACCACGATGAGAGAGTAGGACAAGAAAGATATATTAGTAGACTGAGGTTGTGTAAAGCCTTTCCGATCGCGCGGAAAAGTCAAATCCTTATTTGTCACAAAAACTGCTCAGTCAGACACGCCCCCTAGGAGCTGCACTAGGCCCTACTGTCTCGAGCAAGTACTTTGACTTTCCTCTCCCCATCAAGAAATTGATTGATTTAAATCTAGCAATAACATACGGAATGTATGTTTTCATTTTCAACCTACAAAAATATTCCAATTCCTATATTATAGAAGACGAAGCTTGGATGTCAATGAATTGTTGACGTCTATGGATATGGTGCCTCAATAGTCAGAATAAGCTTATAAGATGATAGGGATGAGATGACTATGTTTTTCAGTTCATTGGTTACTGTAACTGTCTGCCCATGATGGTGTGGAGGAGACTGTACAGCCAGCTGAGGTGTTCACACCGGTACATCAGACTTCCAGGTCTGCAACTCAGGAACTACAGCTGTGATGGGGCTGCACGGAGCATCAGGAACAGGGTATTAAATTAAATACACTTCCTTGATGGAAGGATAGCAACTGAACACAGTCGAGTGTGTTAGAAGTATACAGGTTAACCTCTTATTTTGTACTGAACTGAATTGAACTTTTGTAACACAAACAAGAACAATTTCCTCATGATGAAGCTTAATCATGAATCTCAACATACATGTACATCATCGATCATATATTGATGCTGAAGAGCAATCCATGTGTGATGAAAACCACAGTGGGATGGATACTACTGTGGATCCTAGATTAGATGTCATCTGGTCAGTTGTAAGTTGATGAGAGAGTCCTGTTTGTGTACAGAAGGGTGCTAACATCATCCTGATGGGCAGTCCGGGTGCAGGGAAGACCACAGTGGGGCGGCTCCTGGCCAGGATGTTAGACAAACCTGTGGTGGACATTGACAACGATCACCTAGAGTCACACTGGGGCATGCCGGTCTCTGAACAGGTGACTTTAGTCTGTACTACTGCAAGCAAAGGAGATTATGATTTTAATACGATACATTAGATGATAACTGTCACTGCTTGACTGCATTAAAGAAGTAAGTTTCTTTTGGTGAACAGGAAAACAGGATGGTCAAGTAGAATTTCATGGTGTTCTTGGATTGCCAATGACTAGTCACTGTTGCAGGGGCCATGTGTATTGTAAGCATGTTTCCAGCGCGGAAACTACTCTCCTGATGTCCAAATGTAATGTTCAATGTAGACCTTCCTTGTCAACTATCTCTTCTGGCATTTAACCATTCACCCTAGTTTGGCCTGTTCAACCGTGATAGAGACTAAAAGTGATCATTGTTTGTTCTGTTGTTCATCCAGCTGTCCAGACTTGGTCCAGAAGGTTTTCTACAGGCTGAAGGAGAGGCTGTGCTGAACTTCACAGCAGACAACTGTGTCATCTCCCTGTCTGGGTCCAACCCCATGCACCAGGCAGCCATGGAACACATCCGTACACTGGGTAGGTAGTACTGCATCTGTACTATAACAACTATAACTGTCACACTAACATATCTCCCTGTCTGGGTCCAACCCCATGCACCAGGCAGCCATGGATCACATCCGTACACTGGGTAGGTAGTACTGCATCTGTACTATAATTACTATAACTGCCACACTAACACATCTCCCTGACTAGGTCCAACCTATTCACCACAAAAACAATGGAACACATCAGTATACTTTATAAGGTATCTAGTACCTCAACTATATACACTAACACAAACTTAACTGTCACACTAATATCTCTCTACCCCAACTCCACGCACCACAAGTGCAGTCTGCTTTATCTACAGAAATCCCTTGAGCCATGATCTGCTTTGGTTTCCATTACTTAGTCTAAGAGTATATTTTTGTTGTTGGCATACCCAGGAACGGTCGTGTTTCTGGACGTCCCCAGTGCAGACATTCTGCACAGACTGGAGGTGATGAAGGTCAACCGCATCGTGGGTCAGGGTGCCGGCATGTCTATGGCCGACATACTCAGGTTCATGGACTTGTATTTGTACATTGTAGTAGTGGTTATTAAGAATGTTCAGAATAACCAATCTGTTCAACTAGCAGATTACCCAATCTGTTCAACTAGCAGATTACCAAATCTGTTCAAGTAGCAGATTTCAACTAACGATAATACATGTAATTAAAAATTGCATGCAGACATAATTGCAAGAAATGCATCATTATTACTGTGACAGACACTGTCCCAACTATATATTAAAGTGGTATACAGGTAAAATATTAACCATTTTCACAGGTATCGCCAACAGTTCTACGAAGGGCAGTACGACATTCGTGTGCTCTGTGGCAACAACGAAAGTGCAGAAGACATTGCAAGAAAAGTGAAAGAGGTGTTGATCTGGCACGAGGGCAGCAACAGTTATATCTCAACAAGACACTCTACGAAGGAGGAAGGAAGTAGTAGAACTTTCTCAGAAGTTGTCTTGGAGGGCCTTGCCCCAGATGGAGGTCTGTATGTTCCCAGGCAGGGGTTACGGCGGCTACAGGGGAGGGAGTGGGAGAGACTGGTGCACTGTAGCTACCAGGAGAGGGCACTCAGGATCCTGGAGCAGTGCATCCCTCATGCAGAGGTCCATCCTTCTGTACTCAACACCATGGTGCAGGCAGCTTATGCACAAAACAGGTGAGTGAGGCTGTGCATGTACATGTGTACTTTTGTCCTACTGTAAGCGTAGAGGAGAGTAAACAATGTCCAAGAGGTATTCTACGATTGGTCATAAAAAGACAAACAGATGCGTTGAACATTTAAGTTTATTGAACAGCAACTTAATCATGGACATAAAAACCAACTTACGCCCAATTCTGTGTCTGTCAACAGATTCAGCACTAGTGATGTGGTCCCCTTGGTGCAGTTACAAGACAACCAGCACATCATGGAGCTCTTTCACGGGCCCACGGCATCCTTCAAGGACCTGGCCCTGCAGCAGATGCCGCAGTTCTACACCGAGTTCTCCCGGAGACGGAGCGAAGGTCATGACGAGCACAGGTCACTTATCCTGGTGGCGACGTCCGGAGACACGGGCAGCGCCGTGCTGGACGGGTTCAGCAGACTGCCTGGTCAGCGGAATGCTACTGCTGTTTGTTTATTTGTTCGTGCCTTTATTTATAACCTCAACTCTCATCACTCTGATAGGTACATATCACATTTGAAAAGAATTTAGAAAAAAATATCTACAAAGGCAGTAATCACTGAGGTCTGTACACGACAGATATCCCTGTGTTCAAGACTTTCTTGAGAATTGAGAAGGTTTGAGCAATGACACGATATTTTACATGTAGTTTTCTTAGGGTATAATGCAGAATTATGGGAGCTGATGTTTACATATTCTTCACAGAATCCCTGCAGCAGTATGTAGCAGTGATGGTGCTGTACCCTGAGGATGGCATCAGCCCCATACAGAAGGCACAGATGACGACCAACCAGGCTGATAATGTCCACGTAGTTGGTATGGAGCAAATAATTGATTTTTGTTATGATTTTTTTTTAGAAACGTAAATAGAGATACACAATATAGTGGCACAAAAGCTCACATCCTCGTGAATTTCTTTCAATAACAAGTAACTCTCCATCCCCTGTGAGCGAAGGTGTTCAGTCAGATTTTGACTTCTGTCAATCAACTGTCAAGAGCATCTTCAAGCAGCTGAGGGGTTTATCTGATGGCTCATCATCTGGACCGTACCACTCACACTACGGGGTTCACCTTAGTGCTGCTAACTCCATCAACTGGGGGAGACTACTGCCACAAGTTGTGTATCATGCATCGGCATACTTAGATCTGGTTAGGCAAGGTAAGTAGAAGAATTATGTCAGAAGAAACACTACTGCATTCAGCAGGGGAAGGCAAAAGCTATGCTCTGTGCTAAATTGTATACAGTTCTAAAGAGGAAGACTGCAGTATGTTAACATTGTAAATGTATTTGTATTGCTTATCCGAAAGTTGTGAAGTATTGTTTTGCTTTTTTCTATCTGTGTGTCTGTCAGTGTGTATTTCTACATTTCACAATACATATAGTACTGGTAGCTGTTGTAAGGGTTGCAAATTTTTGGTGCAAAATTTTCCATCTGACTGTCTATTTTTTGTTGGAAGGTACCATTTCCATGGGCCAGGAGGTGGACCTCTGCATCTCCACAGGAAACTTTGGAAACATCCTGGGTGCTGTGTATGCTAAGGTAAACATGCTTCTATACTGACAACCACAGAAACAGGTTGAAACAGTAGTTGCTATTGGCTTTTGTAAAGGAAGATGAAAGTCTTAGAGTATGTTCAAGCTTGCACAAGTCTAAAAAGATAATAATCTTACTTTAGTGAACAAAACATATTCTTGCATGTACAATGTAGTATCATAATGGTAATCAGCCACTATGTGTCATTGTTGTACTGTATTTCCTTCCCCTGTCCACAGAGGATGGGCATTCCCTTCAAGCGTTTCATCTGTGCCTCCAACCAGAACAACATCCTCACAGACTTCCTAAACACAGGTTGTTATGACCTCCAACATCGACGGTTACACCGGACCATGTCACCATCCATCGACATTCTCGTGTCCTCTAATCTGGAGAGGTAAAAACAGCATGGCAAGGTGGCCTCATGGTTAGGGTTGACTTGCAGTTGGAGGGCTAGAAGGAAAACTTGCACCTCACTATGCTTACAAAAATGTACTCCCTGATTCTAAATGTTCTGTGTTTGAATCTAGGATGCCCCATGTGGTATGGATCCGAACCCAGGACCTGTAGCTGTAGATTTTTAGCCAGTAACCCTAGCTAGAAGGCCACCTTGCAACCATAACATATATGCCTACACATAAAGCTTGTACAGGTTGAGATAAAAGGGGTTTTGTGATAAAAAGAAAGGTCTAGATGTCAGATATAATTGATGTACAATGTTAATAAGTGTGACATTCATACATGTAATTTTCCCATCCCCAGGTTCCTTCACCTGTTGACCGGTGATGGAGGTTTGATAACAGACATGTTCCACCAGCTGGAGCACCAGAGACTTTTTAAAGTGCCAAATCAGGTGAACACCAGTTTGGTTCTTGGTTGTCTTACTTATGCCCCTTTTTTGGATTTAAAAAAAGAAGTGAAAAGATTACATGTACCATTTGGGATCTAAATCAACTTCCAAATGCCCAAATATTTTAGCACCAACAGTTGAGGAAAGTCAATGTCTCCCTGCTTGCTACAGTTCTTTTTTCTTTTATATCAACACATTAAAAGTTTAAAATGCTTTGCATAAACATTAACCAGCTGTGTACATTGACTCTAGTGTTTCCTGCATGATTGTGGTCGTTCTGTCTCGGTGAAAAGAAGACTTGAAACATCCTACTCTGTTACAGATGCTGAGTGAGCTACAGGAAGACTTCTGTGCAGACTGGTGCCATGAGGAGGATTGTGCCAAAACTATTCAAACAGTTTTTCAGTCAAATGGTAGGAAACAGTGTTATGTACTAGAGTTAGATCTCTCTACAGAAAAATTTCATATTTACTGTGAAACCACAGAGGTGTCCTGCTACAATATTACAAAAACAGGACTTGGTCCTTCTCAAAACTATGACTTCTCCAGCTGTACAATTTACTAAATCTTGACCCTTCGGAACAAAGCCACTTTGTTTCTTTTCTTTGTATGAATTTAATTCTGTTGCAATCTTGTAGCCATCCCAAAATTTGGTGTCTTTATTTTTTGTTACAGGTTACTTAATGGATCCACACACTGCAGTGGCTAAGACTGTTGCAGACCGATTTTTGGCGAGAGATCGTCCGATGCTCCTGGCCTCCACTGCCCACTACTGCAAGTTTGCACCTGATGTCCTGACAGCCCTGGGGGAAAGATTATCCTCAAACAACCCTGTCCAGCTCTTTCAGGCTCTTCAAACACTAAATCCACATCCCACATTACACAGTCAACTTAGCAAGGACATAGAGAGGCCGAGAAAACACCAGGCTGTTCTAGAAGCTGACCACAGTCAGGTTGTAACAGAAATGGAAAGTTTTATGAGAAGATACTTCTCAGATCTAGAGTGAGGGTGGCCAAGTCGGAGGGGTAACATTGTCAAAGATTCAATACCTCAGGGAAGGGCTGAAAAATGAAGCAACATTTTAGTTTCTACGAGGTTTTAAGGGAAATTTGGTTTGGGGCCACTACAAAAGTACCAGGTGATTTTGACATTTTTACATGAATCCCAGATTCCCAGCTGCTGAACATTACATGATTATAGCATTTTAAGTTCTGTATATAGTTATTTAATCCAGAATACACGATAGAAAGTCATTGAAGACTGCAAGTCAAGGCATGTCACAAGTCAAGATCCATTTATGATTTTACTGCAGCATTTACTGAACAAGTTCTCAAAGCCTTATATGATCAAGCAACAGCAATTACAAAGTTATCAGCGCTACAAAATTATATGATGATACACTGGTACAAAAAAAATCGTAAAACCCACATCTTACATTTTCTGCATTGAATTCCGATACATCAGGCCTAGCCTGATCACACTCCTATAGCAGCCCTGCCACCAGCCTGGCCACTAGAAGGGACCCATAAAGTTCTGGAGAGTTTGAGAGAGTTACAGACTACATAAGGTACTTGTTATAATATTCAACCTACAATAGATAGGTGTACATCTCTAAGTCTTTGTGTACATATTGAAAACTAACAAAGGATGGTGATGTAAAGCTGGCTGCCTTGTGCATGGGGAGCTTCAGGTGTCAAACCTTTGTGGGTAAAGGAACCCAAAACATTTATCGAGAAGAGTAGGGGTAACAGGTGGTCAACTGGTGCAAAAATATATCCACAAGCCATATGCAAAATATATCCACCATCTACTTGCATCATACAAGTATACTTAATAATATACATAACATAAAAGTACTGCAGAATAACCACATAAACAAATTCCTACCACAAATAATAATCTGCATTAACATCAAAATACTTTGTGAAGTCACAAACTGATACATATGAAGTGCTATACTTGCACCTTCTGAATTATAGTTTCTACCATCTTTTATGTTTCTTCCAAATAATCATCTTAAGTCATCACACAAATCTGACTGCATTGCTAGAATCCCTTTCTTAGATGGCTATAAGACATCTTGACTACAGGACTACTCGATGGTCCGTAAAAAGTGCACTTTTCTCTAGTCGTCCTTTTTGTCTCCATCGCCTCCCTTAGCAGCCTCAAGTTCCTCCTGGAAAATAACGGTATCATCAGTTTTGAAACATAGCAACTGTTGCACACACTGCATCATAAATCTGGTCTTTGGAGTGTTTTTATGTGACCTCATGAGGACTCACTGTCATCAGACACCAACATGGGGGTGCAGCTATCTGCATTTCAATGAATTGTAGCTTAAGTGTTTTTAGCAATTTAGAAATCTTCTTATCCTCTCAAATAACATCAAGTGTGAATACCAAAGAAAAGAGAATACCAGAAGAATACATAAAAATACTGGACACAGCTAGTCATTTACAGGTAGAGTATACCAACATGGTCAAGGCATCAATATAACAGATTGTACATGTATCCAAAAGTTAGGGAGTTGATGATAAACAAATGTTGAGGAGTGAGTAAATGCACCTGTAACTTGTTGTGCTCCTTAAGGTGTCTATAAACCCACCTGAAGCTTGCTGTGTTCTTTGAGGAGTCGGTCATACTCAGTGTTGACGCCCTGGGCCTGTTTCTTCACTGCCTGTAGGTCAGCTTCCAAATGGAGCAGCTCTGAAGGGGGAGGGAGGCAACAAAGCACATGTCAGGTGGTATTACTCATGCCAAGGACAAGCTTGTCAGAGTCACTAAGCAATGCTACAGTATTATGACCATGTTGATCCATGGTTGGTAACATTTCAGTAACAGAAGGGATACTTTACCTGGAATCCAAAACATTGAGGTAGGAGGTAAAAATGCATCAAATAGCCTTGTGTTACATCGTTCATGTGTTTTTAAGACTGATGAATGTCTTGCTAAGGACTCACTGTCTTTTGCCTCATCCAGTTCCTTGTTCTTGTTGGCAACCTTGTCTCTCAGCTTCTCCAGCTCAGCATCATTCTCTGCACCTGGACCCTCCTAAACACAAACAGAGCAAACAGGTTTAGCATCAAAGCATTCTATTGGAATATCACTGAATTGCATCAACATTTTGGTCATATTGCAGTCAATAGGATTCTAAGAGGGATAAGAGTGTTAGTGGGCAGTTATTAGAAGCAGACAAATAAACAAGAAAATTGGGACTTGAAAATACCTTCTTCAGTTTCTCATTCTCCTCCAGCAGTTTCTCGGCAGCATCAGTAGCACTCTTGGCCTGCTTCTCAAACGCCTCAGACTTGGCCTCCAGGGTGGCGGTGTTGGAGATCACTGTCACCAGACGACGCAGCACGCTGGAAACAACACATCAACATCACTCTAATCCTCATATTCATGCACAGATAAAGTGTTCAGAAGACAATGACTGTTAATAATTTTTTTATTCCGTACCCCAAACCCTTCCAGTAAATGAAAATTTGATTCATAATTCAATATGTTAACAGTTGCAATACATGTATCCAAAAGCCATGACAATTGTGAGAATGATGAAAGGCATAAATAGGATATGCCATGAATGAAGTGCATGTAGTCTAGGTGAAAATGTGGTACTGTAAATTCAATTATTTTTGCAGGGACTTAATTTCGCAGTAGAAGGGGAAAGGAAGATGTAGCCGTATTTTATAAGCATCCAATTGTTTTACACGTACTGTTTTACTACAGTACAGTGGTAATACTGTAGGAATTGCATATTCATGGCACCATGAATTTGCAGTAGAGAAGTCACTGCGAAAATACAACATTTACAGTACCTAACAGTTATAACATAGCACATATCAGTTACATGTACATGTCTGGAAAATAAGGAGGGGATTGCTAGTGGCAAACTCCAATAAGATGAACTGCAGCAAGACTGTAAAAAGTAAAGCAAAGGTAGGTTAGTAAAAAAAGAAAGAATCTAGTGCAGAAAGGTTGACGATAATGTTGATGTCAGCCCAACCAAGATGCTAAAAATGATAAAAGCTAAGGGAAACACCCTTGATATTTTCAGGCATGTCCCTAGGCTTGTCATTGTGCATTTGGGGTAGACAAAGTAGAAACGGAACAGGGTTAATTTTTTTCTTCACCTTCTCTCTGCTGAAGTAGCCTTAAGGTAGCCTGGTGTCCAGCCTTTTAGCTTTAGTCCGCTCCCCAAGATCCGCTCTTGTTGGTGGGGAGTGGATCTTGGGGAGCGGACTAAAGCTAACAAGACTACACCAGGCTACCTTAAGGCACCAACCTTTCCATGCTTCTGAGATAAATCAGTGGGGGAAGGGTTCATGTGACCAGAGCCCAGAGACACTCCTGACTTCCACCTTACTTACACAAACAGAAAGAGGGCAAAGCCAGCGATATAGAAGTTCCGCTGGGCACGGAATAGCTTCATGTGGAGGTTGATTTCGGCCTGGGGGAAGAGCGCTGGGTCTTGTCCCCCATGGACCTTTGGTGCAGAGCCGTATTTGAACATCTCTCGAATGGCATCTGGAAAAAGACAGGTCAATGTATACAATGCTTTTTTCCCATGTGGTTGAAGTGGATGGTGCAAAGTAGCAGGAGGCAGTCAAGACTGACATGCCCTCTAGTGTCTCACTTGAAAACTGCAAAGTGTCATTGTCATTTTGGTTTTGGAAAGTATCATTATAATGAAATGCTTTGCAGAAAATTCAACTTTTTGCAAGAGGACTTGGACATTCTTGTCTGTCTGACGGCCAAGTTTGCACCACCCATTTCAACCAACAACTCCACCGCGGCGTTACTTACATAATGAGGAACAGAGCGAACCCCGACATGTACAGGTTCCTCTGTGCACGGAACAGATGCATCATGATGTTCATGTGACTGCCGGGACGCAGCGCTCCCTCTGCACCCTCCTCATCCTTCAAGTCCCCGTACTTCAGGGACTCACGGATACCATCTAAGTTCAACAGTTTCAAAATGGCAATCAGCTGCAGAAATGGCAGACTTGACCCCCTTACCCATACTGCTTTGCAACCCTTCCAGCACTGCGTTGTGTTGTGTATAGTGTGTATAGTGGAACTTACAGAAACTCACACCTACATATATTCACATACACTCATGCACAAACATGCATGGAGGCACATACGCATGCAAGTACGTACGCACACACACCAACTCTGAATCTCTTTTTATCTCTCTCCCTCTCTCTCTCTCGCTCACTGACTCATTATTTGACACTGACTGTCCTAAAAATACCAACCTCCAAACAGCAGCAGAAGGATGGCTATCAGCACGTTGAAGTACAGGTTGCCATGTTGTACAAACCAGTTCAGCAGGGCTGATTTGAAAATCTTCTGCCATCTACAATGAATAGTAAAATTCATCATCTTTGGGCCCAAGGGAACCCATAACAGATACCACATACCACTAAATAGAATTTAAAAAGGTATCTTTAGTACAGTTCATCTGTTTTTGGTATAGGGAAAACTATTTTCCAACACATGAGAGTGTACTCACTATTTCTTCTCTAGAAACGGCTAACCTATTTTATCTTAATTAACATCATACTGCATAAAATAAATAAAAAATTATATATGTGACCAGCAGGCAAAATTGAGTTTTTCATTAATAAATAAAGGCTCAACAAATTTCATGCAACTTTATATGGTCAGACAGTGCTTTGTCCTCACCTTCTGGCAGATATGAATGGTATGCACAGGAGAACACACACGCCGATTTCTGCGTAGAGAAAAGTCGCAACGATCGTCCACTGGATAGTCATAATGTATGGGTGTCCACTGGGAGGACAGAAAACATTCAGTACATTCAGATCATGTATGTGACTATGTAGTTAAAAGTATGTGTGTATACGTCATGTGACCATTATATGTATGTGTAACATTATATGTGTTTGTACATTTGTACGTACTGACAGGATTGAAACCACAATGTTTTAATTGTTACCCCCCCTCGCCATGAATACATGAAACATTATTTCAGCTTATCATAAATCATTCACATGCATCCTGCTTTCTAATCCAATGGGATGTAGACTACAAGGTTTTGAAGATAATAAGAAGATTGAGATTAGATATGGGATTAGCATTTTTGATGTGTGAATGACATTTGGAAAATTCAACTTCCAACTGTAGACAATTTTGTCTTTATCATTTCCACGGGTTCCACCTTAACAATACTATCCAGCCACCAAATGCCATGACAAATACATACATTTCAACATTCCATCCAGAAAATTCCATTTGCTGTATGTCACCTTGTCTTGTTTTCGCAACAATATTTAACACTCCTTTTGTTAATGACCCTACAAAAATACACGTATGACCATCTCGTGTCAGTAAAAACTGCAGTAACATGAATATTCGTTAATAATATTCCCAAATTTTAAGTGGAACAAATATAACCCATCACAAGCCTCACTAGCTATCCACTACCAAGTGTCAAGTAGAACACTTCCAGTTCCAGTGTTACCAAAGGCCGTCCATGACACAAAAATTGCCCAGTATTTTGTCTATCAAAACTATATTATGGTGGATACAAAATCACAGACTGTACAACTACAAGAAAGACAACATCTGTGCCACTGCCCAACACATACCTTGTCTACGAATTCTCCTATTTTACTCAAACAACGGCCCAAATTTTCCTCCGACGGCTTCTCTGTTTTAGGGGGAACAGGAACACTAGGGAAAACCGCACCGTGCAGCTATTTTAATACCTCGTCTGACCTGGAGAAACCGGAGTGAAACCATGACGTGTCTCAACCAAGGAAGGGCACGAACGCACATGAGTCACAACCACACCCACTTTCGAGATGTTTACCAACAATTGTTTACATTGGAACTTTCAATAATATGTCATACGACAGATTAACTTACCTACAGGCTCGTGACGTAACTGTTTAACGGGAAAATAGGCTTTCAAAAGCGCAGTTTTTGCACGTCTACGGACCAAGCGAAATGTTTATGAATTTGGGCCAGTGGAAGCTAACATTATCATTGAAGGGGTGGTCACTTTGTGACTGTAGAATACCATACTCGAAGAACCCAAGAAGCAAACATTTTTACACATCTAATCAATAATAGATATTCTGTTTACATATAAAATTGAAATAGCATAGTGTATTACATTATTATGGCGTTGACACCGACTTTCTTGATAGATATTATCTTATTACTCCTAGAAGACAGTAGACTATTCTATTGACCTCTTGCCACTATTCTCGCGAGAAAGAGCGTGATTGCTGGTCAGGGTGCGAAGGCGGGACATTCAAATACAGCATCAACTTTTGGGCCCTGTATGACACCGAGATCGCCGTTTAATAAAGTTATTTATTTATAAGCTAAAGTACAAATTATTGCTCGGCGTAAACAACGACGTCAAGAATCTTTGAATCATGCTTCGCCTCTTTTTCTTCAATGAGTCGTTATCCTTTCCGAAACTCCGTTGTAATACTTGTAGCACACGTTGATTAAGGTCAATCCATCCTTTCATTCATTCAATATTTACCTCCATGAAATGTGTCATGGAGGTTATATTTTCAGTTGCGTTTATCTGTCCGTCTGTCCTTCTGTCCGTCTGTTGGTCAACAAGATAACTCAAGAACGCCTGGATGGATTGGTTTCATACTTGGTGTGTTGGTAGGGTGTGACGAAAACTGGAAATGATTAGATTTTGGTCCCCCTAGTGGCTTCCCTTGGTACTGCAGCGCAACTTCCGGTTTTGATATCTCGAGATCTGGACATGCTAGGGTCATAAAATTTTGATGGAAGGTAGCTCTCATGCTTGGGAAGAAGTCACATGAGTTTGGGCCCCCTAGCGGCTTGTTCTGGAACTGCAGGGCACTTTCTGGCGAAATGTTTAAAAGCCAATAAGTCCAGACAGGAACAACATATTTTCATTATTTTTGGTGTGTAGGTAGCTGAGAGAGAGATGTACATAATTAAATGCAAATTATGCAAATGAGGACTTTATTTGCATAATTAATGAGGAAATTCTATAATTACAGTGTTTTACATTATACTACTACATGTATGTAACCTATGGCAGGCGGAACTTCAACAGATACTAATTATGCAAATGATGACCTAATTTGCATAATTAATGCGAAAATTCTATGATT